ATCATTTGATTTACACAACATGCCTACCACTTTGAAGATGCAAATTATTTTTTATTGTGAAACAAACAAGAAATAAGACAAAAAAACAGAACTTGAGCGTGCATAACTATTCACCCCCAACTTGGCTCATCTAGCCACTGGGATTTTTGCCCATTCTTCAAGGCAAAACTGCTCCAACTCCTTCAAGTTGGATGGGTTCTGCTGGTGTACAGCAATCCAAGACATTTAAATGTTTCCCCTTAAACCACTAGAGTGTTGCTTTAGCAGTATGCTTAGGGTCATTGTCCTGCTGGAAGGTGAACCTCTGTCCCAGTCTCAAATCTCTGGAAGACTGAAACAGGTTTCCCTCAAGAATTTCCCTGTATTTAGCGCCATCCATCATTCCTTCAATTCTGACCAGTTTCTCAGTCACTGCAGATGGAAAAACATCCCCACAGGGATGGTGTTCTCGGGGTGATGAGAGGTGTTGGGTTTGCGCCAGACAAAGCGTTTTCCTTGATGGCCAAAAAAGCTCAATTTTAGTCTCATCTGACCAGAGTACCTTCTTCCACATGCCTTGTTTGCTTATTATTTTTCTGTAAGCAATGCCTTTTTTCTGGCCATTCTTCCGTAAAGCCCAGCTCTGTGGAGCATACGGCTTGAAGTGGTCTTATGGACAGATACTCCAATCTCCGCTGTGGAGGGTTACAGCTCCTTCAGCGTTGTCTTTGGTCTCTTTGTTGCCTCTCTGATTAATGCGCTCCTTGCCTGGTCCTTGAGTTTCGGTGGGCGGCCCTCTCTTGGCAGGTTTGTTGTGGTGCCATATTCTTTCAATTTTTTAAATAATGGATTTATTGGTGATCTGTGGGATGTTCAAAGTTTCTGATATTTTTTTATAACCCAACCCTAATCTGTACTTCTCCACAACTTTGTCCCTGACCTGTTTGGAGAGATACTTGGTCTTCATGGTGCCGCTTGCTTGGTGGTGCCCCTTGCTTAGTGGTGTTGCAGACTCTGGGGCCTTTTAGAACAGGTGTGTGTGTGTGTGTGTATATATATATATATATATATATATATATATATATATATATATATATATTTATTACTGAGATCATGTGACACTTACATTGCACACAGGTGAACTTTATTTAACTAACTTCTGAAGGTAATTGGTTGCACCAGATCTTATTTAGGGGCGTCATAGCAAAGGGGGTGAATACATATGCACGCACCACTTTTCCGTTATTTATTTTTTAGAATTTTTTGAAACAAGTGATTTTTTTCATTTCACTTCACCAATTTGGTCCCATATTCCTAGCACGCAATGATTACATCAAGCTTGTGACTCTACAAACTTGTTGGATGCATTTGCTGTTTGTTTTGGTTGTGTTTCAGATTATTTTGTGCCCAATAGAAATGTATTGTTAATAATGTATTGTGTCATTTTGAAGTCCCGTTTATTGTAAATAATAATCAAATATGTTTCTAAAAACGTCTACATGAATGTGAATGCTACCATGATCACGGATAATCCTGAATGAATCGTGAATAATGATGAGTGAGAACGTTACAGACACACAAATATAAGACATGCTAACCTCTCACCATTACAATAACATGAGATGTTAGCATTTTGGGGGGGAATGATATTTGTGCGTCTGTAACTTTCTCAGTCATCGTTATTCATAATTCATTCAGGATTATCCATAATCATGGTAGCATCCACATTCATGTAGAAGTGTTTAGAAACATTGTATTCTTATTTACAAAAATAATTACTCCAAAATGACACAATACATTATTTACCATTCATTTCTATTGGGCACTCAATCATCTGAAACACATCCAAAATAAATAGCAAATGCATCCAACAAGTTTGTAGTCACAAGCTTGATGTAATCATTGCGTGATAGGAATATGGGACCAAATACTAAACTTTTGACTACTTTAATACACATAAGTGAATTTGTCCCAATACTTTTGGTCCCCTAAAATTGGGGGACTAGGTACAAAAAGTGCTGTAATTTCTAAACGGTTCACCTGATATGGATGATGTCCTCAAATTAAAGCTGACAGTCTGCACTTTCACCTCGTTCCAAATCCAAAGTGTTGGAGTAGAGAGCCAAAACCACAAAAAAAGTTGTCACTGTTCCAATAGTTTTGGAGCTCACTGTTAATTTCCAGGCTTAGATTATAGCATTGATTGGGTGTTCATTCATTGCTCTTTGTTTTTAAAAGGATTTGCAGAAATTGATCTGTAAACAGAGCTGCTAGTCAAATAAATAATAATATCTTGCATGCTGGTATTGTCTTTCGTATACCGGCCACCTGGTTTACTCTCACACCCTTAAAAATGTAATTTACACAGCTGAGCAACAAATATCTCCCCTTTTAGCTTTCTATGAATGTAAGGCGCCATCCATGAATGTGTGTTAGTACTCTAGTAATCTGGTTTGCATCTATTTAGCAATCTCAGAATGATGCCAATGTGGTAGGAGTTAATTTGGCTGTTTCGTCCTCTGTATCTGCCTGCTCGTGACTGTTCTGCATAGATAAGTGTGAGGAAATTGAACTGCATTTCCGAAGAAGCCAGTAAGTATGTCTAATCCCATTTTAAAGAGCCCCGTGGGCGAAACTTGGCTAATATCCAATCCAGCCAGCCAGTCCCAAAGCCTGAAGATGCTGGTGGTCTCTGCTTGGCCTTGCAGATCTGGACCAGAGAGACTGAGGGAGGGAGGTAGTGAAAGATAGAGGTAGACCACTGGAGAGCTGTGGGGGCTACAGTACTTGTCTCTGGGGGTGTTTGGTGGGTGCCAAAACTGGAGCTTGTCTGGGGGCGTCAACAGTCTGGTTGTAAATACATTATGTGTGACGAGGGGTGGGGGGGGGGCAGGGTTTTAGGATGGGTAACATGAGGTTCGAAAACAGGGAGGAGGTGCCAATGATTAGTTAAGGGGAATGCAGGTCCCAAGGCCTCGCAGTGAGGAACTGTAATTGGTTAGTTATAGCTGCGATAACACATCAAACAGATCCTAACACTCTCCCCTCCAGGCACTGGTGATCCGCAGCAGGCTCATATGATCATATTCGAAATGAAATGAATAGTATCAATACATTTGTATAATGATGTCTCAAGATATAACCATCATACTCATATTCTATTGTATTTACAACGACACAATACAGTGTAGAAAGTACCAGTAGTTGAGTAATATTCATGGCTGCATTAATGCAATCAAATCTACTGATTGTGCCTAAAATGTTATTAAACAAAAGGACCTCTGAATGTATCTCCACATCTTTGCACTATGCTTGCTGAGAATAGGAATTAATACATCTGATCAGCATGCATTATGCATTGAATCACTGCATGGAAGTAAGCAGCTGCTTCAAATACAAGCAGGGTGATACTATTGGAAGCTATAATTAACATTTTGTATTCAGATAACGGGCACCACACATTTACAAGGTAAATATGTGTCTTTCCTACACAGCCCCCTTGTCTCATTTGCTTGTGAGTGACAGAGAAAGAAAGGAGTGTTGATGATAATACAACCTGATTATAACACCTCGGGCTTGACAGAGCCACTACTCCCTGCGTTAGATAAACACAAACACGTTGAATTAATAATCAGATTTAGAAAATACACCGCTATTTTCCGCTGAATATCTATGCAGTCACATTAAAAAGAAAATGTAGCTTTCAAAACAGTGACTTTAAACAACAACAACATAATACACTTCACATATTTTACTGTAACAGTTACTATGACTACCTGAGGCCTTTTATGAATATTCTAGCACCTCCTGAGAGTTTAGATACATTTTACAACAGCGAAGTGCACTAGCCCCAGTTTACATTACATTTTAGTAATTTATCAGACTTATCCAGAGCAACGTACAGTAGTGCGTGCATACATGTTTGTACTTTTTCGTACTGGTCCTCCTTGAGAATCAAATCCACAACCATGGCGTTGCAAGCACCATGCTCTACCAACTGAGCCACACAGGACTGGACATTACGTAGTATACCCAGTAGACTTTACGGTTTGGATTGAAAAGATATCACTCTTTGGGCACCACCCTGTCTCTGCTCTCTGCGTCAGCTAAGCATGGGGGTTATTTATTTATGCGACATCTGCCAGTCTAGAAATGAGCACAGTCTTTCCCCTGTTATTGTAATTTCTCATGGCAATGATTCAGCTGACTGCTGAACTGTATTCAGGCTTTTATTTTGTGTCATGTGTTGTCGGGTATGTTTTCAACTCACGTAGACAGAGCCATTTATCTCTAATAAACCATCTGAATGTATAATGGATTCAGCGAGACATAGTGGAAATTAGTTTGGAAATTAATTTGTCGAGCTTGTTTTGGGTAAATCGCTGCAAAAATGTATCTTTGTATCTGGTATGAAAGTGTACCAAAGGGAAATAACTGTCCAATCTAAAGAAGCTGTGCATTTATTTATCTGTAGTGACTTGGTGTTGACAAAGAAGGAGGAACTCTAGTGTCTGTTCGTATGCTGCTTATATACTGAAATACTGCTGGATCACTGTGGGGTTAAACCTTAGCAATATCCCACCAGACTTGTGCAATGAAATCAGTCTGGAGGAATTGTCAGCACTTACAGGTTTATGTTGGGATTTAAGAGTAGGCAGTTTTGGGCAGCGGTTTTGGTCCTACAATAACAGACTTGATGGAAGAGGAAAAGTCACTGTAAACTCAGAAGAGAGGGTGGGAGAGCGCAATGGAGAGAAAGTGATAGAGAAAGGAGGGAGAGGAAGTACATACAGAGAGTGAGACAGAGGGAGAGAGAGAGCGGGGGGGGGGAGCAGATGGGAGAGGAAGTACACTGAGGCTGTGAACTCCTTAAGAGTCAGACAAATGAGTTCCAAGAGGCCTGTCTGTCAGCCAAGCCTTACCAGGAATAGGGAGTTATTTTACAATTTCTTGATTACTCTTTAGTTTGTATAATTAGGTTTGATGGGTCAGCATCCGTTACAAATGCAACTGCCCCAAAGATGTCCCACCTACCCCACCCATTTCTCCTGATGTATGCCAGTGGTTTAAACCACTTGAAAGCAGTGTTGAAACAAGAGAGCCAAGGTGAATGTAGAGTTGGGTAGTGGTATGTGTGGATAAGGTGGAGTGCCATCTGGTCAGCACAACTGTAACTGAGGGAGTCAGTGATATGGTTGAGCAGTACAGATGGCCAACTGGCCATTGAAAAACATTACACCCAGGTTGGCAGCTGTTCCTTTATTTCCTGCTCTTGACCTTTTCGATAGGTGTTAACGTTCCAGAATAGCCCTTTAATCATATTGGTCTGCTGAAAACTACAGAACTAAGCACCTGTATTTTCTGTTTTTATAAGCTTTGGTGCCTTTTACTGTTTACCCTGTCAGGAAGGTGAGCAGACCTTTTGATCATATGCCCAAAAGCAGATCATGTTCTTGTACTTCAGCACTACCACTTCCTTTGCGATATATAGAGTGGACTTCCTACAAAGGATTCCCACAGAAATGGGACTCTTGGGAGGCTTTTTGTTTCAATTGACAGAAATGTGAGGTTTCCTGTTGAATCGTATATGTGGTGAAAGCTTTAAGTGCACATTCATGTATTTGTCATGGGCCAAGTGTTTCTCCTTCTTTTCCATATTTTTAGTTCTTTCTGCTGACAATTCTCTCTCTCGCTCTCTCTCTCTCTCTCTCTCTCTCTCTCTCTCTCTCTCTCTCTCGGCACTCCTTCAGCGTCTAACCCATGTGAAGAGAATGATGGGCGTGGCCCGTGCTCACACATGTGTCTCATCAATTACAACCGTACTGCGTCCTGCACCTGTCCACACCTCATGAAGCTGTCCCCCAACAAACAATCTTGCTTCGGTGAGTGGGACGGCCGTCTTCAATCTTTTAACACACCTGTATCTATCCTTTTCATTATCAAAGTCACAAAAAAGTGACTTTGTGCACAATCACATAAAAAATAACCATTATTTAATTGGCACTTGGGATTATGATTTGGGATAAATATCAGCATTTGCATGTCATATGTTACATCCATAACAATATCTGATTTTAAAGGTCAACCACTTCACAAATCAGTGGTAGCCATTGATATTTCTCTCCCCATCTGATTTTTCCATAGTGTTGAAAAGATTCCTCCTGTACGTCAGGCGGTCAGAGATCCGTGGGGTGGATATTGACAACCCTTACATGAACGTCATGACAGCACTGACCATCCCAGACATCGATGACGTCACAGTTGTGGATTACAATGCCCAGGAGGAGAGGATCTACTGGGCGGATGTGAAAACACAGACCATCAAACGGGCCTTCATCAACGGCACCCGGCTGGAGACTGTCATCTCTGGAGGTAGATACTGGCTCAATCCCACATTTTGACCAGGGTCCATATGGCTCTGGTCAAAGGTAGTGCACTATGTAGGGAATAGAGTGCCACTTGGGACGCACCCACTGTCTGTTCTTTATAAGTGTGTAACTCAGAGAGATAATAATGTAACAGAGGTGGATGAGTCATGATGACTAACCGTGATGACTCGTGTAAGCTCTCCCAAGCTAATTCCCAGGCTTTAGCTCAGTTGGCTAACACAGTCTTGTGGTGTGCAGAAACTACGGCTACAATACTTTATAGACCTATAACGTAGTGCCAGTGTCTGCCACTCATTTCATTAACATGATGGACATTTACATTTTCTGATTGGCGTTGAAAAGGGATGAAAGACTCAGTGAAGACAACGGCACATCCGGAACTAACTTCTGCAATTATTGTTTGTTTTGTTGTGTCTGAAAGACTTTGATTGGAATCTCTGTTTTGCCTAATTGTATCACATGAAAGCACGTCGTCAAAGCAAGAACGACAATTGCTGTTTTTCAAGAAGTGTCTCCTCTCTCCTGTCATCCTAATTCCCGTTCTTGAAATTTGTGCCGGAGATATAATTAATGACCCCTGATAAAGAACAGAACAAAAACCTGCCTGCATAAGCTTTTTGACACATTCTATTATGTTTACTATCGCTGTATTTTTCAAATAGTGTTTTATACCAATGTTTTCGTACATGTTTGCTGTCCCAAGGTCTGCAGAAGTATCTGTCTAACTCATGACCCCTGTGACTCCATGTAAAACACATCGTTGGATGCCTGATTGACAGCCTTCCTCTCGTTATTTTCCCTCAGATATACTAAACTGCCGTGGGCTGGCTCTAGATTGGCTCTCTAGGAACTTATACTGGCTCAGCTCAGAGAATGACGAGTCTCAAATCAATGTCGCCCGCCTGGATGGGTCCCTGAAGACTTCTGTCATTCATGGGATTGATAAACCAAGGTGCCTTGTCGTGCACCCCGCCAAGGGGTAAGTAGATTAAACACCACGGCATCTGTGTATTTCACTACTATCTTCCGGGACTCAACATCAACGTGGTATTAGGAAATCTTCATTTTGTTGGAAGAAAAACAAAAACCTTCCAAGGTAGACAAGACACTTTGACATGTTTTTATAACAGTGAATTCCCATGCTTCTCTCATGAAAAGAAAACTTGTTCATAGAATTTGTAGCAATTATTCAGTGGAAATATATAGCTTGTATACAATTTAGTTGCACAGTATCAACATGAATAAAGTGAGCAGCTCTCACGAACTACAACTAAATTGAACAAATTCATTAAGAACTATAGTATAAGGAAATTATTATAAAGTAGAACTGTAAAAATGTAATGTAATGTCTGTGTAATTTTATTATTTCACATTAGGAAAATCTACTGGACAGATGGCAACACAATAAACATAGCCAACATGGATGGGAGCAACAGCAAGGTCCTTCACCAGAACCAACGGGAACCAGTCGGTCAGTTGAACATTGTAGCTCTGTTTGTTCAGACTGTGGAACACTACTGCCTGTTCCAACACTATATGATTCCAACATTCTATATCATGGGACAGATTCAGAGGAGCAGTCCAACAACCAGCTGGCGGTATCTACCCTGTCCACTGTATGGTGTTCATTTTAGGACATCCCTATTCCCTATGAGGAGGCCATGGCTACTTTGTATGTCGTATTGAGTATTGATGTCCTAAAATGAACACCGTTCAGTCACGTCTCCTCATAATGAGCACTAGGTGCATTTGTTGTGTATTTCCAAAGATACAAAGATAGCATCTTTCCAAATGGTAGGGGTTGAAGTCATTTGCTACACTTGACCTAACTGAAAACCTCTTCTGCTGCCATACACAGTTGTTCAACCTGAACTTCTACCGTATACTCAGATGATACAAGCTTCAGTGCACAATTGTTCATCTGCAGGTTCACGCCTCAAGCAGCGTGTTCTCACAGCACAGGCAGACCTACAAGGTCAAGTCTTCACTTTCTCAGATAAACACAGTACCGTTGTCTTCACTGTGTCTCAGTCAGGTAGGGTTGGTAGGCCCTGTCAGAAATATAAATTGCCAGCGTGCTATATACATCACATGACTTCATTGATGATGATGGGCCGGACCTGGGGACGGTGGTAAATTAATGATGTGTTGTGAATGTGAATCTGCCATCCATAATCTACACCAGGCGCGCACACACACACACAAACACACACCGTGGGAGACCGAGAGCTGTCCACAAACACAATTGAAGTAGCCCCCAGTTGCCACCATCAATAGTGCCATTCTGTCAAATCCCATCATGTCTGCTAGAGAATGGATTTAAAAAGGAAGGAGTCACTCTCTGGTCAAATGATTTATAATGTCAAGTGGAGGTCATAGAGATATCCCAGGCAGGCTGCAATGAATCATTCCAACAACCTCACAGACACATGCGCCCATGACACATGCACACACACGCAGGCACACACACAAACAAACACACGTGCGTGCACGTGCACACATGACACATGCACATACACGCAGGCACACACACAAACAAACACACGTGCGCGCACATGCACCCATGACACATGCACACACACACGCAGGCACACACACACTCGCAAACACACACATGTGCACGCTCACACTTACACTCACTCCTATAGATACACACATAGTCCTACATCCATACTTTCACATATGGAGTCACATCCCAGGCTACAAAAAAGATTGCAACAATCTCACACTCACCCCAACAGACACATACAGTGCTATGAAAAAGTATTTGCCCCCTTTCTAATTTTCTCTACTTTTGCATATTTGTGATACTGAATGTTATCAGATCTTCAACCAAAACCTAATATTAGATAAAGGGAACATAAGTGAACAAATAACACAACAATTACATATTTATTTCATAAACAAAGTTATGCAACACCCAATTCCCCTGTGTGAAAAAGTAATTGCCCCCTTACACTCAATAACTGGTTGTGCCACCTTTAGCTGCAATGACTCCAACCAAATGAATTTTTGCCCACTCTTCCATGCAGAACTGCTTTAACTGCTTTGTCCGCCCGAGTGGCGCAGTGGTCTAAGGCACTGCATCGCAGTGCAAGCTGTGCCACTAGGAATCCAGGGTCTGTCGTAGCCGGCCGCGACCGGGAGACCCATGGGGCGGCGCACAATTGGCCCAGCGTCGTCCAGGGTAGGGGATGGAATGGCCGGCAGGGATGTAGCTCAGTTGGTAGAGCATGGCGTTTGCAACGCCAGGGTTGTGGGTTCGATTCCCACGGGGGGCCAGCATGAAAAATAAAATCATAAAAAATAAAATACAAAGAATGTAAACACTCACTAACTGTAAGTCGCCAGGCATAACTGGAACCATGTCGTCCAAAAAAATAATTTTGAATCATCTGTCCATAGAACGTTCTTCCAAGAGTCTTGATGATCATCCAGGTGCTTTTTGGCAAACTTTAGTCAACTTTTTGGACGAGATGGGTCCCATTATGCCTGGCGAAAACCAAACACTGCATTCCACAGTAAGAACATCATACCAAAGGTCAAGCATGGTGGTGGTGGTGTGATGGTTTGGGGATGCTTTGCTGCCTCAGGACCTTGATGACTTGCCTTAATAGAAGGAACCATGAATTCTGCTCTGTATCAGAGAATTCTACAGGAGAATGTCAGACCATCCATCTGTGAGCTGAAGCTGAAGCGCAGCTGGGTCATGCAGCAAGACAATGATCCAAAACACACTATAAAGTCTACATGAAAATTGCTAAAAAGCAACACATTTGAAGTTTTGGAATGGCCTAGTCAAAGTCCAGACCTAATCCCAATTCAGATGTTGTGGCAGGACTTGAAACAAGCAGTTCATGCTTGAAAACCCACACGTCACTGAGTTAAAGCAGTTCTGCATGGAAGAGTGGGCCAAAATTCCTCCACAGCGACGTGAGAGACTGATCAACAACTACAGGAAGCATTTGGTTGGAGTCATTGCAGCTAAAGGTGGCACAACCAGTTATTGAGTGTAAGGGGGCAATTACTTTTTCACACAGGGGAATTGGGTGTTGCATAACTTTGTTTATGAAATAAATATGTAATTGTTGTGTTATTTGTTCACTTATGTTCCCTTTATCTAATATTAGGTTTTGGTTGAAGATCTGATAACATTCAGTATCACAAATATGCAAAAGTAGAGAAAATTAGAAAGGGGGCAAATACTTTTTCATAGCACTGTATTATACAAACTGTACATTCAAACAACCATAGTACCTCTAATACTAGATGCATCTAGCATATGTGTACATTTGACTGATTGCCATCATGCGGACTAAGTCATTAAATATTTGACATGTGATGACGTTATTGCAACCAGTTTTTCCCACTTGGGTGGGCTTTACCATATCTGACACAATGATCTGGCTTAAAAAAGAAAATGTATCATATAGTCACATATAGGTTTTACACCTATTATTAACCCCCTGTCATTCTTCTCCGCCAGGTCTCTCTATAGACTACACAGCCAACAAGCTGTACTGGATCAGCTCTGGTAATGGCACTATCAACAGGTGCAATGTGGACGGTAGTGCACTGGAGGTGCTGGAGAGCATGAAGAGGGAGCTAACCAAAGCCTCGGCCCTGGCTGTTATGGGTGAGTTGTGGCTAGTTTAAAACGTATTGTACCCACATCCAATGACTTGCAGGTGCTGGGTACAAAAAACTATTGACATAAAGAGTAGATACACTGATGAATGCTCCCTCTGTTGTATTGTAAAACGTTTGGACCTGAAGGTCTTCATCAGGCTTGAATAGTGGAGCATGTCAGCGAGTGCATCAGATTCCCATCATGGATTAAGGGAGAAAGGGAGGATTAGGGCCTAGGTCTGTACATGTTGCTAGTTAAGTGGCTCCTGGATGAGGCCATTTAACCAGTGCTGTGGAATGACTGTGACAGTTCTGCTTCACTCTGTGTGAAATTGTCTGGGCATTAGATAATTAAACCACTGGCTGGAGCTGCATGTTGATTGATGATTGATTCTTTTTGTAATGAAAATGGATGTGGATGCCCATAGTGGAGTGTTGTTGCTTTGTATCAGTGCTGGATCTAATATGTTGGACATTATTACTCCGACATGGTGCTTCTTTTCAATAAGATGGCATTTCTTTCTCAAGACTATTTGTTTGTTTGTGCCATTGCACCATACATAATACAAAGACTCACACATGACTGAACTGATTCTAACACTTGGTCACACTTTAATGCAAAAGCCTATGTAGGTCACAGTCGAGTCTAAGGTGAAACGTTTGAAATCTGTGAATGAAACTTTTTCAATAAATACATAGTGGGAGTAGAAACAATATAAAGTTATCATTCTCTATTCTTTTCCCTCCACTGGTAACTAGTCAGCCTCATGGTAGGGCTTAAAACGAAGAGGAACGTTAAGTTTGGCCTCAGAGGATGAAAAAATATATATGCCAAACGTCAAAGTAGAGGTTGTTAATGTAATTGATTTAAGACCAGATGGAAAGGGAAAAGTAAGACCACAGTGCATAAGACATTTAATTCAGCGCACAGCATCTGGCTTCAAAATTGCATTACTCTCACTACACCATTTTGGATTCAGGATACACATTTTAAATAACTACACGTCCTAACAGTTACAATCTGGACAATTGGGAGGAAGCTTCTTGCTGTACGAAGATACATGTCTGTTTGCCAGGAGTGGTAATGAGAAGCAGTGACAGAAGGTTGCTGTTTTAACTTGGTGTTGACGGTCAGAAACATTGTCAAAGAAAGATTTGCTGTCCTTTGATGCACCGTATTTAGTGATCGTAATGCAGGTCTTCCGCATTTCTCAGCAAACGAACAAGCGTGCCTCTCTCTCGCTGCAAGTTTACAAAGACTAATTAGGCGGTCAGAAAGTAAAGAAACAACTATTGAAGTTAGCTACTTTATAGTGTCTACTTAGAGTCCGGAGGTATGGAGGTTGGAACGACTGACAATGCATTTACTTCAGTATATATCTTTTTAAGTTCGCAACTTACGACCATTTTTTAGTTTTATTTTATGGAGGAAGCACAGTAAAGTAAAATGTTCTTGCTGTTAAAATTGAGACTTTATCGCATTCCACAAAATGTGAGCCGGAATGCAAGGCGACAAAGACTAATGACTAAGTTTGAAAGCAGTAGAAGGTTACAGTAGAACAGTGGAATGATGTGTTCACAACAAACCATCTATCATACTTAATGAAAGTTTGGTTGTATTGTGGAAATTATTTTCATTGCTTTGAGTGGCATATTTATATTCTGCCAAAGATAGAGAACGATTGTGCAGTGGTTTTGTATTTATGTTGGATATTGGAAAGGAAGTATGTGTGTGTGTGTGTGTGTGTTTGTGTGTGTGTGTGTGTGTGTGTGTCTGTGTGTGTGTGTGTGTGTGTGTGTGTGTGTGTGTGGATGTGTTTAACTATACTTGTGGGGACCAGAAGTCGCCAGAGGAATAGTAAACAAATAAAAATGTAACCAACTGGGGACATTTTGTTAGTCCCCACAAGGTCAAATGCTATTTCTAGGGGCTTTAGGGAAGAGTGCGTGTGTGCGTGCGTGAAACGTGTTTGTAAAACTGTCACTAACCTCTGTTCATAACTCTTAGTTCATAATACCAATTATAATAAAAATGTCAAGGTATGATATTTATGAGCTTACTAATGAGAAGAGTGGCCAAACAGGTCAGACTAATGTTTTGCAATGGCAATACAAACGTAGATGCATGAAGAATACCTTACACAGTAGCTTTGTGACTTTTCAAATTATAACCCATGACCATGGAATTGCAAATATTGTGTTTGAATATATTTTCCTGTCCAATTTAAAGCTATTCGTTCAAATTTAAAATCAACCCAAAATAACCAACAAACCGAACAGACACAACAAACATAGTCAAAACCAAATACAGTAGGGTCATATAAAGAGATCCAACCCATGATCAATAAAACTAATAAAAAATAAAGAGTAAATATGAGTTAAGGTGTATGTCTTTTTATCGCTATGTAAGCCTAATGGATATTTGCTTTGATTTTGAAATAATGTTCAGTACTTAGGCGAGGTTTTAGCTGGAAACTATAAACATATCCTGCTGAGAATGTTTTTGCATCCAGTACATACAGTATAGGTTATTTACAGCTGTGGGATTGAAGAAAGGCTGTGATGTTCTTTCAAGAAAATTACATTGTGTCCAAATATGATCTGTTGATGACATTTCCTAGTGAAAAGCATATCAACTTTTTCCCCAGTGAATCATCTTTAAAGGTGAATGACAGATGTCTGCTCTTCAGCTGTAGTTCAGTCCATGGTGTGGAATGAATGATTGAGATTGGATTTATTCTCCAGCCAACTCTCAACTCCAAAGCTTTCATTTAAAAATCCATACCCAGTTTCCTCTTGGAAAGGACCCACATTTATTGAATGTAGAATAATCTGTTGAGATCTATAATTAAATTGACGCTGTGGTATCCATCAGTTTCAGTAATATTGTTTGCTTTTTCATATGTTCTTGATTATACACCATCTGTTCCGAAGGCACATTTCTTATTAGATACTGTTAGCTTTATTTGCTTGCTAGTGTTATGGGCTTGTGTGTTTTAGTATGGAAAGCTGTATATTCATGTAATTGTTTTATATCAATAATTTAATTTAGATGTCATTTTTTAATATATTTTTTGCACAATATAATAAAATCCCCCCCAAAAATTATATCAATAATTCCCCATAGGATTCAATGGAGAAACACATTTTTAATATCGATAATTATTATTTTTATATCAATAATTATATTATAAATGTCGAATATTTAGCATTATTAAGATGTAAACCAGTCAGCTTCTAGTGCAATGAATGCCAATGAAGAGGAGGGTGGAGAGAGCACTGAGAGAGTCTTTATATTTTGTTGCCTGAAAATTAAATTAAATAATTTATTCAATTTTTTAAAAATCCTACCGATATACACATGCTACTCCATATTTCTACAGTGAAAGAAAAATTGCATAAATTTGTACAAATTAATACAAATAAATCAACAAAAATATATTGTTTGCGTATTGTATGTCTTCACACCCCATAGTTCAGAGGTGGTACCACAGGTCCCAGAGTGGTGTGGTGGAATTCTGGGGCCCATCATATTTCCTGATCTGGTAACCTGACCGGGTAAAACTCTGGACCTTATATGGTATGACGTGAGTAATCTGTTGTAAAAACGTTTAATATGGATTATGATGGGACCAGAGTTTTTCTAATCAGGTCACATGGTTTTAAAAAACTCCTAGATGAAAACCCTGTCAAACAGCAGCAACCTTTTACTTGTTCATATGAATTACATGTTAAAAAAGAACTAGGGGGTTTCCTATACACAGAGAAAGCAACATGATTGGACAATAAAACTCACAGGGCTGAGCTTGCTTTTGCTGCTTTGCATCATAGTCCTGCCCTATGCAACTGTTGGACTAATTAAAATTAGTATTTCAGCTACTGTGTTTATTGATTCATTCCAGTTAATCATTTTGTATTTAAAAGTATAGGTTTGAATATAAACCAAATCTGATCCGATTCACATTTTCTCACAAAAAAATGAGCCATAAATACACAATGTTACCACTTCGTTTACCCTGGCCAGAGGGACAGGCCGCATATTAGGCTAGACTATGCAGCTGCTGTTAGCAGCCTACAGTTGATCAGACTGAAACATAGTATTGTTTCCATGCAGTACAGCATGTCAGATCATTAATGTTTAGGTGTATAGGCGGCTACATTTATGAATGAGTTTTTGCTTGTGTCTGGAGTGATGTTTTATCACGGTTGCTAAATAAATACCAGAGGAGAGTGGAGAGCGCACATTCTGCTTTGTACATTGTGCCCATAGAGAATGATAGAGGCCTCTAGTGGCCAAAAGGCCATTTTAGCATGGGCAGCACCATTGAGGACTTCCACCATTTTAATATAGTCAACTGGGTGGGATTTCCAACTTCATTGGCGGATCCCTCCTGATGACCCTGTTGGAGTCATGTCCAACCATGTCATTAGGAGGGATCAGCCAATCGTGAAGAAGAAAATTGACTACTTAAAAAAATAGTTTTAAGGCAGCAAAATGTGAAGACTGTGCAAAGGGTGTGTAGACTTTCACTAGCGACTGTATGTAGGAGCATGCAAATGTAATCCCGCCCCCATGAAGGTCATTATCATGTGCACGTTTTAATTATAGATATCAAAAACTGGAATTATTGATATCGATTCATATTTTATTTAAAAAATTTTTGTTGTTGAATTATTAGTATCAAAAATGTAATTATTGATATACAAAAATACAATTAATATATGTGAAAACTGCTTTCCATAGTCTCTGCTCCATTGTGAATTAGCTAATCAAAGTTATTGAACGCTGATTAAACAACAGTTCCTTCCTGTAGCGGAGGCCTTTGGTCTGCCTTGTGTTAATCAATGAAAGGCTGTATTTGTAGTGGTTAGGCTTGTTCTCAACCGTCAGCCTGTGTCAATTAAGAGAGATTGAGATATAACAGGGGGCTGACCTGGATCTATTGCCCCCCCCCGTGTGTGTGTGCTGCTGCTGCTGCATGACAAACACCATTATGAGAATGTTCAGTTGAAGTATTAAAACAGCATGTTGAGACTCGAAACTAAAAGTGTCAGAATGAGTAGCAAAATTATTCTAGTCGTCGATGGAGCTATCGGGTGTTTTGAAGAGCTTAATCACAACAAATGGCAATTCCCCCAAAATGTCAACAATTGCATGTTTTTTGCCCAATCACTGATGCATCCTGATGATTGCCAAGAACAGTTGTGAATGGAGGTAATGAAAGCGGTGTGTGTGACACCAGGTTGTGTGACGAGGTGGTGTTGAAGGAGTCAGGCGCAGAAGGGTAAATCACAGAATAACAGGCTTTAATCCACAAAATACAGGTTTACGCAGAACTGCGTCAAACACACTCCAGGGCACAAAACAGGTGCACTGGAAAATACAAGGCACACAGGAAAATACTCCCGTCTAACAAAATTCACGAGCTCCACCGAGCTTCACTAACCTTCACAATAAACAATCACCCACAAGGACAAGGGGGCAGAGGGAACACTTATACACAGACTAATTAGGGGATTAGAACCAGGTGTGTGTGATAACGAGAAAAGACAATTGTGATGATGATTGGGGCGGCAGTGGTTAGTACTCCGGTGACGACGAACGCCGAAGCCTGCCCGAACAAGGAGGGGAGGCAGCCTCGGCCGAAGTCGTGACAGGTTGATCCATTCAACTCCTGAAGATACGTGCTACTGTTTTTCGCTGGGCTAGACTGAGATGTGAGGGACTGTGTTTAGAAGTTGTGTATGTGTTACGTAAGGTGTTTAGACGGTGTGGGTGATCCATCCATCAGCCTCAACCCAGTGGTTGAGGTTTAAATTAAATACGATGAGCAACAACCAAGCAATCACCACTACCCACTGGCCCCAGTGGCAACAAATGAATGCAGAAAGCACAGCTAATCTGGACTAGGTGATCCAGAGGGTCAACTGTTTGGGAAGCAGCATGTAGGCTGTCAGTCTCACTCAAAGCAATTTGGCTGATTCCAGAAAATGAGTTTTACTTTCCTTTTTAATGTTGACTTTCGTCCCAAAGCTATTACACTGCACTGTAGTGGGTTCCTTCCTTCTCTGCTTTACAACAACTGAGATTTAGGCTACATTTAGAAAGTGATTGTAAATAGGTAACATCTTACTTCATTATAGTCTGTGGTCAGATATGATAAAGGATAAACACAACATTTCCATCTGTTTTTGATGAGGAGGTTTTGGAGGAGTGGATGATGTTGATAAAAAGACACATTTTTCGATTCTTCATCAATTTGAAGGCTTAACTGCTTTATGGGCAAATCTGCCTTTTAGACACTGCTAGGGTGCAATCATAGTCATCTAGCAGTTTCCCTGCTGACAATAGTTATTCATTTGCAGAACTGAGCAATAAACACAAAAAATAGCACCAATAGATTTAAAGCAGACAATCAATTGTCACAGCTCTGCAATTTAATATAAAAATACACAATTATAAGAAATAATTGTAAATAAAAGAAACATATATTTTTGAAAGTAATTTTTCTGTTGGAGCACCTCCACTGTCTGCGACTGCAAAATGCAATACCACATCTGTGCATAACCACTTCAATTCTCATACATTGAGAAAGATGTACTGAATCTTTGTTGATAATGGCAGTTATAATAAATATAAAAGTATAGTCCCTCTGCTAACTTCAGAACACATTTCATTCATAGATCACTTTTCAGATTGGGAAAGTTGGCCAATATTTATTCTGGGTACACCACTGTGGCCCTTTCAGCAGTTCACAGTGTTAGGTGAGCTTGGTTGCAGCTGTTCAGTGAGGTTCATTGCACTCCACTGGGTTTTTGAATGGAAAACCCTTGTCACGTCTGAGGCAAGGCAACTGCTCTAGTCCAGTCTGAGGCCAATAGTGAGCGTCACTAGATTTCACCAGCGGGTGCTGTGATAGCTCCACTCCTAAATGGGATGCATACACACCACAGGAGGCTGCTGAGGGGAGAACGACTCATAATAATAGCCAGAACGGAGCAAATGGAATGGCATCACACACCTGCAAACCATGTGTTTGCTGTATTTGGTACCATTCCACTGATTCCACTCCAGTCATTACCACGAGCCAGTTCTCCCCAATTAAGTTGGCACCAACCTCCTGTGATACACACACAGACACACACTCCAAACATGGACACATCACTCTCCAAACTCATGACACAAGTCTCCTCTCCTTAACCACTTCTCCTGCTCAGAAGCACTTAGCAATGAACAATACCAGGCAGGTACTCTACAGTCTACAACAGTGGAGTAGGTCCACTCAAACATGGAGATCAACAAACACGTACCTGTGTGTAGTAGAGGCTCAGGATAGAGTATTTTGGGTCAACAACACTACTGGTTTATTTTTGGGGATTTCACTACATGAAATGTTGCATCATCAGTAGCCTATTACATTGTCAGAACTCATATATTCCAGGTTTCATGCATGCAATATATCTAGGTCTCCCTTGTAAAAGAGGTCTGTTGATCTCAATGGGACTTCCTGAATAAATAAAGGTTAAATAACACAATAACAATTCAGACAGATAAGTTGATATGGTGATAATGTGGTTTCTAAGGACATTTCCTTGTTTCAGGTAACAAACTGTGGTGGGCCGACGATGATTCAGCCCATCTGGGGACGGTGAACAAGAGAGACGGACGGAATCATGTGGTTCTGAGGAATAAGACTAGCGGAGTGGTTCACATGAAGGTCTACGACAGGGAGGGACAGAGAGGTAAGGAACACACGCACATTTATTTATGTACTTTTCAGTTCCATCTACTGACATCCAGAAATGTGACACCATGATGTACTACAGTACCTATAGTGCTCTGAATAACATTTCAAATGTTATCTTAGTAAAGATGTCCATGAAGCTAACAATGGTGTCCTATCTCCTTATTAATACACTATTCACCATGGCCTTTCCAGGAAGGAACCCGTGTCAGGTGAACAATGGAGGCTGCTCCCAGCTCTGCTTCCCCACGTCAGAGAACACCCGTAGCTGCTCCTGTACTGTGGGCTACAGCCTGCGCACCGACCGCATGTCCTGTGAGGGTAAGACAGCAAGTCTGCTCTAACTAAGTGTGCATCCCAAATAGCACCTTAATCCTAATATAGTGCACTACTTTGGACCAGAGCCCTATTGGCTCTATGGGCTGTTTGGAACACAACCTAAGTGGTCATGCAACAAATGCATTGAGCAGTTCAGACACCCTAGCATCAGAGTAACCACAAGGTCTGTGACATGAATTCGCTGTTGCTAATGAAATACTATATAAACCTCTGTAATCATACGAAAAAACATACTCAATATTACTGTGATAAATGTACTCTATGCATATTTATTTACGGTATGTTAATCTTGGAATCCAGAACCACATATTGCGTACACACCATTAACATATTTATGTTAGGTCTGTCACAAGAGACTAACAGTATGTTACAGTAATGTAATAATTCCTCTCCTACTCTGTAGGCATTGAGTCATTTCTGATGTACTCCATCCATGAGGGGATCAGAGGGATCGCCTTGGACCCCAATGACAACATGGAGGCTCTGATGCCCATCACTGGGACCCTGTTCGCTGTGGGGGTGGACTTCCATGCAGGTAGGTACCCCCAGGGCCCGTATTCACAAAGCGTCTCAGAGTAGGACTGCTGATCTAAGATCATAATAAATAAGAGTGGGGACACAGTCATTAAATACATCTCCTCAGTCAACAATTAAACCTACAGTTTAATTGATTTTATGACCCCTTTATATTGTTCCCTGCATGACGTCTTCCGCATTATACATGAAACTTACTCCAAATGGCAGTTTGTAATCAAGAGAAAAATGGCGAGAGAGAGGGAGAATTATAGAAAGATAGAGAGAGGCAAAAAAAATTAGAGCGACCTTTATTGTAGTATTCTCTCCAACCCGGTTGAATAATGGTTAGTGGTGCTGTTGAGGGCTGCACAGATGAAAGAGTAATAAGTCCATGTTAGTAGAGATTCATGAGAAACACCAACCATTTCTCCACATGCCCCTGAACCAGGCATGACACAAAGCAATTCCCAAGATATTGTATCAAATGAAGGTAACAAGGAAATGGTAATGCATTAACCCAATGGCTTGTGCTGGCATTTGTCATATAATGGGGTTTTCGCTTGCATAATTCATGTTCTAAATATGGTGGATTTATTACACTGACAAGTGCTTGAACGTGCACTGTCAAATGAATAAACTAAGGGATAGTTATGCTTCATATACTGTATGTTGCCACGAGGCTCCTTGATGACAACAATCATATAGGCCTACTGGGAAAGAGAAGCTTTATCTAGCATGCACGCACAGTAGCACTGTAAGTGTTGCATAAAACCTTCGTTTACAAAAACATCACATGATTTAGAGATAAGAGTGGAGGGGAAAGATGTTACCTGCCCAAATATGATAGAATAGGATCCCACTGGTCAAAAACTGGTTGAATCAACGTTGTTTCAATGCAGTTTGTCAAAATATTGTGACGTGGAATCAACGTGGAAAATACATTGGATTTGAAAAAAGTAATCAACTGTTGTTTTGAGGGTGCAATTTCAACCACAGGATAGTGTCATCATGTTAACCACATTTCAACATAGACAAACTTTGTATAAAATATGTTGAATTTGTACCTTTAAAACATTGTCAGATCTTCAATGTTATATCCACTATCAGAAAAAAAAACTATAGGCTGGGCAGCACCTCCTACTGGATAATTTATTTATCTACAGCTACCCTGCTTAGTTAGCTATGATATTTGTCACTAAATATTACCAATGTGCTATCATGAGAATGATTGTTGAGAGATCCCCACTTAAAAACTAAATAGTGCAGATTCACTGTTACCAGAGCAAATGAAATGTGACTATACTTTATCACTCATATATTAATAATAAATTATGTTATTTAGGCCTATATAGCATTTGCAAAGTCATCAACAGCTATTATTATGATTTAACCCAGAATTCAACTAAAAATAGACAATACAATAGGCCTAGTGTTTCAAGCTCTGATTAATTTCAAATGAATTGATATTTAGTGATATTGTGTTTGGTTGTCAACGCAACCAAATATCAACATTTGAAGGAGTTGTATCTTCTGCTTGGATAGTTCCATCTGTGCCACTGACATAACCTGGCTTTAATTCAATTAAGAATTGATATGTTGGATTCACGTCTCCATCTCAACCAAAATCGAAGTAAAAAAATAGTACTAAATTAAACTTTATTTAAAGTGAATTAAAGTTTTATTTTATTTAGTCCTATTCTTTGACTTAGATTTTTGGTTGAGATGGAGACATGAATCCAACAAATCAATTATTAATTTGTAGACAAACTGGAATTAAAATCAGGTTACTTCTCCTTTAAATGTTGATATTTGGTTGTGTTGTCGACCAAACACAATCCAATATTACTTATAGCCTAAAGTTAAGGCCATCTTCCAAACTAATATAATATTCAATCTTAAAATGAGTAACATGGCCACATTGAGGTTACTGTTACTATAAAATGTATTTTTATGTAATCATATAAAGCGTGCATGTTCAAGATAGCATGCATAGGTCGTTGCAGGTCTGTGGAGATCTTCACAATTGCTGTAATAATAATCGGCATTGATCACTTGCACCATGTAATCTCAACTGCAATCCAGGTCATTTGGTTGTGCTATTACATGAAGCACATTGAGAACACATTCATCTGTTGTATAAATAAACAATATATCTGACATTGTAGTCCCATTTGAACTTTTTGCTGTGCTTTTAAATGGTTGACATGAAAGCTCAGTGATAGACATTTGGGTGACAACTAAACCCAAAATCTGACATTGTTTTTCCATTGGAATTTGGTTGTGCTTTTAGATGGTTGAAAGCCTAGTGATAACACATAGGAAATTCAACAAACTTTTGGCTTTCTTTTTGAGTGGGTGAATATAGGTTGTAACCTCATTGATCAACGTCTCAACCAAATATTACCCAATTATCCACATTGAAATGACGTGGTGTGCCCAGTGGGATGAAGGTATGGCAGAAAATAAGTGTTGCAAGGCAGCACTTCCCACAGTATGGAAAGCTCAAAGACAATTAATGTCAGAAATGTCTCAGAGACCCTGAATGTCAATGGTAATCTTGATATGCGACAGCTTGCATTTTAGGAAATTATTAAACTAAAAACTTAACTTTAGCTAAAATTGGTTTTAGTCTTATGTATGCATAAGGTCTTAGTTGCCCTCCCCTTTGTTGCTGTTAAACAGGTGAACATGCAAACACCTAAGCACAGAGTCAGCCAGCAACAGCAGCAGCGGTGGATAGCTCACACATACAATTTGCATATAATTATGAGGCAGGTCGTTGGTGCATAAAAAAGATGAAAGCCTTCCAGCTGGATCCTGTCACATGTAAGATATGTGTTAACGGAGTGTGAATTCTGTATAAACAGGAGGGTGCAAATAAACACATAATGCTGCCTATCCTCCCGACAACCTGGGCCCACTGAACTGACAGGCAAATAACCAAATGTACTTAAGGCTTTAAGGCTGGACTCGGAAATGAATGACTTCGTATTTCATCCTGTCGTATATGAAATAGAGTTATAATCTGAAAGGATCATAACATTTTAGATGCTATGTTTTGCATATGCAATTTATTTTCCAATAAAACCTGGAATACAATAGCCTTTTAATGTCCCGGTGTCAACAAGGAAATAAGGTCTGAATGGATATGTGAACAATACTCATAATTTATATCCCCATTTTGTGAAATGGAGCATGTAGTTGTAATATTAAGAAGATGACTTCCTTAAAAAAACAGTTATATTAAGAAGGAGGCTATGTTATGTGCCTACCTTTTCCACAATAGTACAAAAAGATCAGGTCCACACTCTTGGAATTTAGGTGAAAATTATTACTGACGAGCTCAAGTCTACGCACGACTACTAAAGAATACCAAAAGTTTGCAGTCTACGCACCAACTAATATACTGTAGAATATTACGAGTGTGCAGTTATTTTCCTTACTTTGTTTCTTACCTTTCCACAGGTAATGACACAGTGTACTGGACAGACATGGGCCTGAACACAATCTCCAGAGCCAAGAGGGATCAGACCTGGAGGGAGGACATCATTACCACGGGCATCAGCAGGGTAGAGGGCATCGCAGTGGACTGGATTGCTGGTCAGTATCGTCTTCTGTAAAATGTACAAAATGTCTTCTTACTTTAAGTGGTCCTATGTGGATATACAGTACCCCCATCAAACATTTCCTGAGATTTTATCTCGATGAGACTAACCTGTATAAATAAAGGTATGCATTAAAACTATTGAGTCAAATTGATAAATTACACAAGTCTTCAAATGACATTTCTCATGTTGTGAATAATCTCCTTAGTTACTGATTAGTAAGAGTAACACTGTCCGTTATACAACTGTTCTTTGTACAACTCTAATACCGGTATCTTTGTGTTCCTCCCACAGGTAACCTTTACTGGACAGACCATGGTTTCAACCTCATAGAGATTGCCCGTCTTAGTGGTGCCTACCGTTCTGTAGTCATCTCCGAGGGACTCGACCAACCCAGAGCCATTGCTGTTCATCCACAGAAAGGGTATGTGTGTGTGTGTGTGTGCGTGTGTGCACGCCTGCATGTGTGTATGAAAGATGAATGGGTAACAGACAGACAGTCACTAAGAAGAGATAAAGTTGAAAATGGACAGAGGAAATATAAGTGTATTTGACCAGCAGGGAGTGAAATGACTCAGACAGCCTTGACCACCTCCAGAAAGAGATCAAGATGTTGCTCGATAATAATCACTGGGGACATACTGCTGTTTCTGGACTGGAAATAGATCATGTCATTAGGCTTACTAGTAGGAACATGTCCCCTTGCAGTGATGTTTGTTGTCATGACTGACCTATGTGAAGTTGTTTAGCAGTTGTAGGTATTGTGTGCAGTGCAGTATGATTCATTTTGAGTGTGCCACTAAACTTTCATGATCTGGTGTTGACACGGCGTGAAATGCCTACTGTAAGAAGAGCTTTGTGGTGAACTAAAGTGAAACAATATATGATTTCACTTGCATAGCCTCTGATAACTTTGGTATCACATTATATCACACAATTTGTCCTTTCAGATCTGTTCCAGTTGTCCAACCAGTTGGATGTCAATAATATTGCTGGGTTTGCCTTTCTTTCTTTCTTTCTTTCTTTCTTTCTTTCTTTCTTTCTTTCTTTCTTTCTTTCTTTCTTTCTTTCTTTCTTTCTTTCTTTCTTTCTTTCTTTCTTTCTTTCTTTCTTTCTTTCTTTCTTTCTTTCTTTCTTTCTTTCTTTCTTTCTCCCCCCCCCCCCCCCATCTATCTCAGGTATCTGTTCTGGACAGAATGGGGCCAGAGCCCCTGCATAGGTCGAGCCCGTCTAGACGGCTCAGATCAGGTCACCCTGGTCAACTCTGGCATTGCCTGGCCCAACGGGATCTCCATAGACTATGAGGTACAGTACCAGACACCTCCTGATCATTCATGTCCTATTAGCTCTGATCCATCCACCTCATCCTAAAGCAGTTTCATACCAGCATCCTATCCTCATCCTTCTTTGTGTGGATATAATGTACCCAATGTACCCCCATAAGAGGATAGGGGGATAGTATGGTGATGTGCATTTTCAAATTACTTTCCAGGAAAATAGATTATACTGGTGTGACGCCCGCACCGACAAGATAGAGAGGATCAACCTTGAGACGGGTGAGAGCAGGGAGATTGTACTGTCAGAGGCCAACGTAGACCTCTTCTCCGTGGCCGTGTTCGGAGCTTACATCTACTGGTCTGACAGGTAATTTATTATTTCCTTATATGCACACAGAGTGGGCTGTAAAGTCTGATAATCTAACCTGGTATTAACCCTTCATCTCAGAGGTCTCAGTGTGGAGAACCTCAGCTGAGTATTTTCACATGAGGGGTACCATATTTATGTAAATGTACTAGCATACCTCAATGTCATTATCAAGGGCAGATCCCTTTGCCTTTTGTCCAACGAGTTATCTTGAGTTATTTCATGCTTGCTTGATTATTTTCTGTATGATAAAGTGCAATTGATAAGTACTTTTAAGAATCAAAGAATAATTAAAAAGAAAGTGTCATTGATTACTTTTTAAAACTTTTCTCTCTGTCCTCAGAGCTCACTCCAACGGTTCCATCCGGCGAGGCTTCAAAAGTGAAGCCAGCGAGGCAGTCACCATGAGAAGTGGTCTCGGGGTCAACCTGAAGGATGTGACAGTCTTCAATAGAGGCCGGGAGAAAGGTTAAGGTTTCAACTTAATGCTCCTTTTTGATTCTCACCCATCACCATCATCAGCAGCATTGTTTAATTTCCTAATCTACAGTATGTATTGGTCAAAATCAATTCGGAGACATCTAGCACAAGGGAAATACAAAACTACAGTTCATGTACAGTACTATACACAAGTGACCTATCTATCTATCTATCTATCTATCTATCTATCTATCTATCTATCTATCTATCTATCTATCTATCTATCTATCTATCTATCTATCTATCTATCTATCTATCTATCTATCTATCTATCTATCTATCTATCTATCTATCTATCTATCTATCTATCTATCTATCTATCTATCTATCTATCTATCTATCTATCTCACACTAGCACTTCTAATTTTGGCACTACAATAAAAATGATCATAACAATGACAACTTTATAACCATGAAACTAATGAGGGGAAAGTCATCTGAGGTAGAGTAAGTCTTGAACACAGTGTTTGTCTCTGCCACAACAGGTACCAACCCATGTGCCAGGAGCAACGGGGGTTGTCAGCAGCTCTGCTTTCACCTGGGCAGCGGGCGTAGGACTTGTTCCTGTGCCCATGGCCACCTGGCAGAAGACGGCTTTGCCTGCGAGCGCTACGAGGGCTACCTGCTGTACTCTGAGAGAACCATACTGAAGAGTATCCACCTCTCAGACGAGAGCGACCTCAACTCGCCCGTCCAGGCCTTTGAGAGGCCCGCCTACTTCAAGAACGTTATAGCGCTGACCTTTGATTACCGCCAGAAAACCGCTGGAGGGACCAATCGCATCTTCTTCAGCGACATCCATTTTGGGAATATCCAGAAGATTAATGACGACTGGACAGGACGAATGATCATAGCCGAAAGTGAGTGCTGTTTACTTTATGACACAAACACTGTCCAGTCATGCCAATAGTCTGTGATTGCGGCCCGCAATTCGGGGTGTTCCTGCATGTTGGCAGGAACCCCCCCTCGAGCATCCCATTGGTTCCTGCATGAACGCCCCTCCTCGAGCATCCCATTGGTTCCTGCATAAACGCCCCCCCATTGAGCACGCCATCTTCATGCTTGTGTGACTATTTTGATACTCTACATTTACCCTGATTGTCTATGCGATTAAAATGTGGGTCAAAAGGGAAAAAATGTATTATCTGAGCTTTTCAGAGGCAAAGGACACTGTCTACCAGTGTCCTAGCTAGCTAGCACCCAGTGTACTTCGCTAACGACTGCCGAACACCTGCCCTCGCTGCCGTTAACAGAACTGTGGGAAAACAGTGCCAACAGGCGGGGGCGAAGGACACTATCTACCGATGTCCTAGCTATCATTAGCTAGCTAGCTAGCTATCCCGCCTGCTGTGTACCGGAGTCCTAACTAGCTAGCACCCAGTGTCCTAAATGCCTGCCGAACACCTGCCCTTGCCGTCGTTAACAGAACTGCGGGAAAACAGTGCCTGACAGGCGGGGTGAAGAACACTGTCCACTGTTGTCCTAGCTAGCTGGCTACCGTTGTCGCCTCTTTTTCTGTGGGGTTTATTTCCGGTTGGCATCCAACGTTATGTTGCATTACCGCCACCTGCTGTACTGGAGCATCCCCGCCTCCCGCCTATGTACCGGAGTCCTAGCTAAAACATTTCTTGATTGGACTGAGAAAAAACCCTGGTGCAGAGGGTAACTTTTTTTTATTATAATTGTTTTACCTTTATTTAACTAGGAAAATCAGTTAAGAACAACATTTTATTTACAATGACGGCCTACCCTGTTGATGCTTGGCCAATTGTGCACTGCCCCATGGGACTCCCAACCACGGCCGGATTGTGATACAGCCTGGAATCGAACCGGGGTCTGTAGTGACGCCTCTAGCACTGAGATGCAGTGCCTCCCGCTGTGCCACTCCAGTCTGAAATGAGGAATTCAGACTAAATGTAAAAAATAAACATTGTGTAAGAATTGACTGTTAAACTTTAAAAGACTCACCCAATATAATTCCTACTTTAAGACGCTTGATATGGTCGTTTTGGGGAATGTACTTTGGTGGTTGTTACAGATGTTGTGCACAACATTTTTGGGAATGTTAGGAGAACATTACAAGGATATTTAATTTAAAACATAAAAAAGGTGTTATTAAAAACATTATTTGAATGTTTTTGGGATATCATTCTAATGTTAGATAAAACACTATCTACAACTTAATCGGAATCTTTTCTGGGAATGTTGGGCAGGGTGCTAAGTCAATGATGTGATATGAGGGTCCTACTGTATGATGTAAAATTAGGGTCTGCAGCCAGCCTCTCCTGGCTCTTAGCAGCCATTTGTGAAAAGCCATTTGTGGAGAATAAAGTGTCCGCGTCCTTGATGTATTGTGTGGCTTTAATGCATACTCCATCAAGTATAGAGTATTGTAATGGCCACGTCTATTCTTCTTGTCCTAAATGGGACCCATTTAACTGTCAAATAAGATGGTTACAATGGGGGATGTTTTTTAGGTCTTACTATTAATGGAGAAAATTACCCTGCTCTCATTTTCACCACATTCAGACCAAAACATAAATAAGTGGCCAGAGAGAGTGATACAAGGTATATTGACCACTCTGCCTAGCAGAGCAGCATTTGCAGCATTCACTACAAGATTAGCTAGCTAAGGTTAGAAGTATTGCAAGGAACAGCGACTGCATAAAATAAGCCTGAGTATTTAGGGTATTTGGGGATTAAGGGCATTTATAGGACACATGGGGGCTTGTGAAAATGGCATCTCCCACAGATAAATTCAAAATATATTTATTTGGCTTGAATAAATAAATGCATATAGAATGTGAAATAATGCATTTCATAACACATGGACCTTTTTTTAGCCTGCCAGTCAGTCAATCATTCTAGATGGCAGGAGAAGAGGCAGCAGAGCCGTTGTGTCTGTCCTCCCTCTCGAACCCACTCAATCTGGGCTTGATAAGGCTGAGTGGAGGCAGATGAGCAGGGAATTCCTCTGTTCTGCATGCTTAGCATCTTCTGCCACCCTCTGAAGTCTCCTCTGAGATGGGAGCTCAAGTCACTCACTCACCCTTCACATTCTGGGAGAACAGTGGGAGTCCACTGATCCACGTCCCCACCATGTTCTACTGTTGGCAAAACTGACACAGACGGACGGGGTGACTGGAGAGAGACTTTTTATTTAGGCTTTGACCAAGAGGAGCTATGATCGTTTTTAAAAGCGTCTCCTTCACTGTCTTCTCTACCCTCCTCTCCTCCCTCTCCTCTACCCTATTCTCTGCCCTCCCCTCCTCTACCCTCGTCTCCTATCCCTCCTCTCCCCCTTCTCTCCTTCTTCTCCACAAAGTTTTACTGCGTACCCTATCATTGAAGAAGGGTGAAGATGTTAATCATCCATATTTCCCCCATTAATTACTCCCTGGCCTCTCCAACGATTTCCAGAAAACCAAGCTGTCAGTTGCCTTTTATTGCAAACAATTAATTAGCAATCAAGCTGACTCAGATAGTGCCTTGAGTATTCTGTATGTTTGGTTTATGGCTTCTAGAAAGCACTGGATTCATCCCAGATCTCCAGAATTGATCAATTAAGCACTCAATCCACAGGAGTACATGTGCCATTGAGTTGGAGTTCTAGGATAGAATTAAGGTGTTCATGTTTTATCCAAGCACCTTACCAATGGTTCAGTAAAAATGCCAGATGTTTTAGTGCAAAGCAAGGACAGAAATATCTGTGCTTTGTCCTATTAGGACAAACATGTTCTTTATGTTTGTCCTAGTACTCTGATGAAACCCTATTTTCATGCCAAGCACATACAGTTAGCTGTATCTATTTGATTTCATTTAGTATTTTTGGTCACTATTGAATTGCCATTCATATGTCCCTGCTCACTAAGATAACAGTAGAAATTCACTCAATGAATGAGATACCTGGAATATGCCAACTCAATATTTTTTAATTGACCTGTATTACCAGTCGATGTATGAACAACAATGGTTTGCGGCAGAGACTACCCCGTGCCCTATATGGATACATGGATTTCAGTTTACTTCATATTTTCCTGGAATTATGTTTGTTTGGACTTGTCAATGTCTTATCAACTGTGCGAGTGGCATCAGATGCACTGCATGTATTACGGGTTGATTAATGCCTCGTATATCCATTTAAAGGTGCAATATGCAGAAATCGATCAACCATTTCCTGGTTGCAAAAATTCTAATAGTTCGCCTAATTTCAGTTTATGTGACAAAACAAGCACTTAGAGTGTAGAGAATAATTGTACCATCTAAACTGCTGTAAAATATATTTTCAGTAACCAAAATTATTGTATTTTCAGCTGTTTGAAACTTGTGTACAAAACCGAAAGTAAAAGACGCAAAACCAAAACTAAGGGAAGCATAGAAATAGCACACATAGAACATATCTACCGTGTCTTAGCTTGCTTTCAATGCAAATTACAGATCTGTAACTCCCATTTCTATGTGAATTTGGTCAGGTCACCCAAAAACGTACATATTGCAGCTTTAAGTATTTCCAATGAACAGGTGGATGTGACATTGTTGGATTTGTTATTATATTACACAATGTGCAGAGTTTATATTGTGTGTGAGCAGGAGTTACAATGAATTCAACTTTGTGGCTGTAATTGCCTACACCAGTGTTTCCCAACTCCAGTCCTTGAGTACCCCCAACAACACACATTTTTGTTGTAGCCCCAGACAAACTCACCTGATTCAACTCATTAAGGGCTTGATAATTATTTGACAAGTTGAATCAGGTGTGCTTGTCCGGGGCTTCAACAAAATTGTGCTGTTGGGGGTACTCGAGAACCGGAGTAGGGAAACACTGCCCTACACTACAAATGAGAGAAGCATGGTGGTATGTGCATGTTAACATTTCATCTAAAAAAATAATTGGCTTTGTTCACCCTGAAGTGGGTTCAGTTCTGTCCACCTTTATCAGTGGAGTCAAACACACTGCATGTATTACCAGTTGATTAATGCCATGTCCATTACATGTAAGTATTTACAATGAACTGGTGGAGGCTGGATGGTTGGATGATAATGGTGACGTCCTTGTCTGTGTCCCCCAAGATGTGGGTTCAGTGGAGGGGTTGGCGTACCATCGTGCCTGGGACACTCTGTACTGGACCAGCTCTACCACCTCCAGCATCACCAGGCACAGCGTGGACCAAAGCCGTCCCGGTTCCTTCAGCAGAGAGGCTGTGGTCACACTCTCTGAAGATGACCACCCCCATGTCCTCTCCCTGGATGAGTGCCAAAAGTATGTGGTTCTGGTTCTACTCAGTCTCCCAATAGCCTGGTCTTGCCAATTGCAATGGTCATTGTCACAACATAGGAGTTGGCAAGACAGCACAACCACATCTAGGAACAGGCTGATCTTTTAATAGTTTGTTGCTAAATGATGTCTGAATTTGTATGCAACACAACTGTAGTTCCGTAGCTACTACTTCAGATGCAGTATGTCATTCTATGCCTGAGGCTATGGTTGTATTCCTTTGCTTATCAGATATATAAGCTCACAATCATATTGGGTGCATTACAACACAAGACATGCCTCCTTGGACAGAGTGAAATGTATTGCTGTCTTAAGACAATTCCATCTAACTAAGTTCACTTCTTAAACAGACCTCAGTGGACTTTTTTAGTTAGAGCAATGAGTATAATGTTATATGGCACATACTGTATGTATTCAGTTCTGTAGAGAAGATTGTATATCCACGGTGTAGTGAAGGAGAGCTCTAATTGGTTTGACACACTCACATTTGAAGAAATACTGCCTGCAGTGCTTTCACAATAACAAACTCATGTTCCTGTTATATCCATTAAGAAATAAAAGCATGTCTCAAACTACGGTAATTACACCTGTCAAGAAGGTTATCGCAGAATGCTAACCTGGAGTTCACTAACTAATTAAACTCTTGACCTCAGTGTGTATGCGTGCAGTTCGTAATTTGGCACGTTTCAAACAAACTCCAGACTGCTGATAATTTGAATTTCACCTGCTATGATAAATTAGCACTCTTTGACATATTCTTACTAGCCCCTATGAATCAATACAGACTTTCAATGCTGTAAACATTTTCTACTGTAGGGAGGATCCAGCATAACCATACCTAGGCCTATATCCAAGTTCAACCTTTGCGAAGAACTTCAAAAGTATCGATTGTTTAACTTTGAAACAATCTCTGGTAGTTTGAATGAGGATATAAGCCCTCTACTTTCAGTGCTCAGTAGCGTATCTATAACTGCTGTACACTGTAATACAATTCAGAGATTTCTTTTATTTAGCAAAACCTACTTCAGATAGAGCTTCCATTTATTTACACTCCCACACGATTATAATTTGTAATATTCTTAGTAGTTAGCGCAAAGAAATGTGAATACACATTCTATCTAGCATTCATTGAGTAGCAAAACTGAGGCAGCGCCTTATCAGAGATGGGAGCTGCAGTAGCTCCTGCAAGGCCACGCTAACACAGCCGACACAACATGAGGAGCAGATGACAGGTCATGCAGGCCATCGTGAGTTATGGGATCACTAGATAACAGGAGTGACACAACCAGATAGAGCAACAGGCAATTTAGAATGGCTGCCTATGAATAATTCTTACAGCGATTATTGTTTATTTTACCCTACAAAGAAAGCCAAGGAGCTTGACAAGTTACAATTGCAGTCCTATTTAAGCCATCATACACTCCCCTGATTCAATTTCAGAGAACATTTGTTTTGTCCTCCTCACTGAGGGGGTGTAAAGATGTCTGAAGGGAAATGTGCATAAAGAGATATCGAATCTGGGTTACATCTGTTTGCAGTGAAGGTGGAAATTACTTTTAAGACTTGAGATAAAAGACTAGTAAAAGAAAAGAAAAAACATACTGTTATTATCCATCTTTCCTGTTCCCAGTCAACTAACTTCTTTGAGGTGGTTTCTCAAATCTCCATCTAGTTAATAGTAGGTTTTTGAATGTTTATTTCAGCCTGATGTTTTGGACTAACTGGAACGAGCAGCGTCCCAGTATTATGAGGTCCACCCTGGCTGGAAACAACATGAAGGTGATCGTCAGCACAGACATCCTCACTCCTAACGGACTCACCATCGACCACAAGGCTGAGAAGATCTACTTCTCTGATGGAAGTCTGGGGAAGATAGAGAGGTGTGATTACGACGGCTCACACAGATATGTGAGTATGGCCAACATGAGGATTCCATATGTATGCCGCTCTTAATGCTATCACAGTTACACTATGTTACTCTGTTACACCATGGGCTGGATTACGAAGCACTTTTAATGGAGATTAAGCATGCTTTTTAGTCTAGGACTAGGTTTAATCTGTGTCCTGGAAAGCAGCCATAAGGGCTCAATTTAAGTCGTAGAATGAATGACATCATGGCATTTCATTAACACATTCTAATGAATGTCCCCTCTTATCATGCATGACATGCTGCAGCTTGTTTGACTTGGGCTGTAGAAAAGACCACGGAATTTGGACGTATTGATTCAATCTCACTAAGGACCAAAAGGATAGGCAGTACAAAAAGGCAATTACTTCTTGTTGAACCAACATGTGTTCTGACGTTGTCACGGTCCGTAGCTTTCTATGGAGGAGAGAAATTATATTTGAAACATGGTAGACACAAAGGTAATGATTCTCTGCTGAAATGTCAAAGTATTATGTCCCCTTAAGCTGAGATGGGACTCATTTTCTACCCGTTACATTATCTCCCATTCCTATTGAGCCTGATGGCATTTTAGCCGTAATACAATGGATAGCTTCTGTAATACCTCTCAGCATTCTTTTCATGTATTATATCTCGAAAGACAGAGTGAATGGTTTACTTAATTATAGAAGTAATTTCCCTTCGAAAGTAAAGGAGCTCAGAAAGAGGGTCGGTCTAATTTTATCCGTGAGAGGTTCCATGCATAGTATATATTCATAGTGGTGAAAATCCAGGATATGTATCCCTCTGTATCCCCAGCATGTAAGGGATTACATTACAATTTGGCTCTCCTCTTTGCCAACGGTTTAACATTTGTACTTGACACAATCTATGTGACTGAGGACCTTGACCCATCTCAATTTGTTACCCATATGTCTGCCAAAACAGGGTTGTGCATCTCAAAAGTTGCACCCTTTGGGTTCCCGCATTCCCCGCCTGCAGTCTTTTTCCTGCTAATGAAGGCTCACACAGACGAGACCTGTGGGGGCGTGCCCGTCACTGTCCCAATTAGAATGAGAGAGAGAGAGAGACACACACCTCCATCCCAGGAATCTGGGAGTGTCATTACAGCCTGTGACTGTGTGAAACCCCCTCCCCCTTCTGCCCTGACAGACATGAGATGAACACAGAGTACAGCAGAAAGCTCTTAAGGCCCACTTGCCCTCCACACTCCACTGTGGCATTTTAAGTGAAGCCGTTGTGTCATTACCCATGCTGACGAGAGCCCGCTTGAGTATGTGATGGGGATAAGGTGTTAACACATTCAGGCAGTGAAAAGACAACCTCTTAGGTGTGAAGAGACTGAATACTAATTAAGAACTGGTACTCAAGGGTGGTAAGCATGTGGCTATATGATCACTGAATATGATTTTCAAGATTTATGACCATCCCAAATCCCAAAATAAAAGTGACAATAATCTTCAGAATTAAATAGCTTTTGAAGAGTCTTCTTGGGATTTAATAAAACATGACACTTTATATGTGATGTTTCGAACATGAATTTGATCAGACATGACTAAATTGTGTGAAGTTTCATATACATTGACATATTTATGCACATTATTGAAAGTTATGCAAGTAATAAAATACTTATGATGTTCTGTTCAATATACTCAGAACATGCATATACTTTAAGTAGACTATAAGAGATTTGGAACGCGGTAGTAATTAGACCCTGTGTACAAAACTAGCTTCCTCCCTAATCTAATTTATTGTCAATAAATTCAGTCAAAAGCCATCTGGCGGCCTTGTCGTCTCTCGCTCTCTCACTCTCTCTCTCTGCTGGCCAGTTGTTTTCCCTGTAACACGCTGGGCTCCTTTTAATCAACACCTGTCCTATTAATCCCTGTATGGCAGCAGGGCTAATGTGATGATGGTTACAAGCGTGTCCCACTAATGGCTGAGACTACAGAGCTGTAGGAAGGCAGAGTGAGACTCCCGAAAGGAGCCGTCTGTCTGATGTATTCCTGCCTCCCTATCCATGAGACTGTCATTTTCTCTGCCAGCATCTGGGTTAAGCACTAACCTCGGGGAGGGGTGGGTGTGTGGGCTTTTCTGGACAGGGGTTGATGATGCAGTGATTCATTTCCAAGTGCAATCTGTTGTTTTTCAAACAAAAGCATTTTATGTTTAGAAGTGACAGATATGAAGTCTTTGAAAATCATATTGTGTTTAAGTAGAGTACAAGGATTTAGCTATGGCTTTATATTGGCACTGTAGACATACTGTAACATTGCATTTGATACCTGCCAAGTTCTGAATGCTTTAACTGATGTACTTCTTTGTAACTTACAGGTCATTGTGAAGTCAGGACCAGGAACGTTCTTTGGCCTGGCTATTTATGGGGAGTTTATCTTTTGGTCAGACTGGGCTCGCAGGGCCGTGCTGCGATCCAACAAGTACACAGGTGGAGACACAAAGGTACTGCGATCAGACATCCCCCACCAGCCCATGGGAATCATCGCTGTAGCAAACGACACCAACAGCTGTGAGTATTCTCCCTAGAATCACTTATGTCAAAGAGAAAGAGACTGCTTGTGAATGTTTTATTTGTATGTGTGAGTGTGTGGAAGCCTGTCCTGTGCATACACATATAAACACATATAATTGCTGTATAATAGGAAATGTGTGAGATAAGAATATATGTATTACTGTGAACAATGTTTGTTGGTGGTTTTCAGCTGTCATTGATAGATCTGTGGACTAGATAGATTTGCCTGCGTTTGTTTAATTTAATTTGGGGGTCTTCTCTTTGCTATAGTTCTCCACTTAAACAAGTCACATCACTTTATTTATCTACCAGGGCTCCTTCTCTTGATATGAAGAAAAAAGCATGATGAATTAGGATGGTCTTATTTAGCTGGGAAGAAACTAAAGCTGGCAACATAATGAATAAAAAGGTATCCCTGAGTTGAAGAGGAGGGCTCTGAAGTGTTGCATATGTAAGAACTAGGACATTGGGAGAAGGACTTAAGGGCGTCCCAACGGCTTGACTCCCTCTGTGAGGATGCTGAGTGGGACTTTTCCTTCTCATTTATTTCATCATCGCAAATGATTGCAGACATCACCCTCTGACCTCTCCGTCTTGCCAAAGGGATGAGTAACAACCTGCAACGTTGAAGGAAAAAATACTGCTCTTATTTCATATGCCACTTAGCAGATACTTTTATCCAAAGCGATTTTACAGTACAGTTAATGCATGCATTTGTTGTACATGTATGGGATCCCTGTGGGGATTGTACCTACAAGTCACGCTCTTACATGTACCAACTGACCACTGTTCTTCTCACCATAGTTTTCACTTCCTCCTGGTTGTGAAATGTGAAGTGAATGGGAGAATCTCAATTGCATAGTCCTTGCGTCCTCTCTCCTCGCCTCTTTCTCAAAAACCATTGGAGGGGAGGGACCTCTGGCTTTCTCATCCAATGGGTTTTGAGAAGGAGGTGGAGAGAGGACGCGAGGAGTATGCAATTGAGATTCTCCCAATGTCTCCTTATCTTCATTAGTCTTCCTGTCTGTCTGTCCTCCTGTCCCTCTGTAATCAGATGAGGCCAACCTGAACCTTGGGGCTCTAGGAGCTCTTCCAGGGGCCTGCTGAGTCATCCATCCTCACACACACACACACACATCCCTTACACAGACACTGATGCGTGAATGGGTTTGAGGGAAGGGAAGGAAAACTATGGTTCATTTGTCATGTATCTCTCCGGTGAGCGCTTGTGATACTGGCACTTTATCGTTTCCCTTCTCTCTGCATCCCTTGCTCTTTCGTTATCAGGGTGGATGGGACCTTACCTGCTTGTTCCTGTCACACTGACTGAGCTAATGCATCTTTTATGGTGGATTGGTGGGAGCTGGGAGCTGGGGGTTGTGACCGTTGGCCTTGAAATAAACTATGCTAATTGAGGTTTATCCCTTAATAAACTAGTGACGTTTAGTTTATTGGTCTTTCAGCATTACTACATGTTCCTACAGTTGAAGTCGGAAGTTTACATACACCTTAGCCAAATACATTTAAACTCAGTTTTTCACAATTCCTGACATTTAATCCTAGTAAAAATTCCCTGTCTTAGGTCAGTTAGGATCACCACTTTATTTTAAGAATGTCATATGTCAGAATAATAGTAGAGAGAATGATTGATTTATTTCAGTTTTTATTTCTTTCATCACATTCCCAGTGGGTCAGAAGTTTACATACACTCAATTAGTATTTGGTAGCTTTGCCTTTAAATTGTTTAACTTGGGTCTGTCACGGAATCAGCCGAGGCTGCTCCTCCTCCTTGCTCGGGCAGGCTTCGGCGTTTGTCGTCCCCGGAGTACTAGCTGCCACCGATCGATGTTTCGGTGTTTGTCTTGATTGTTTTCACCTGTTTCCCATTATGTTACATTGTATTCCCTTTATAACCCCCTGTCTCTCATTGGTTATTGTGTGTGATTGTTTTCCGTGAGGTCGGCAGTGTTCGGGTGTATGCGTATTTTGTTCCTCCCTGTTTGGAGGTTTTGTTTGTAATGTTGATTACTGTGCAAGTAAAGTTAGTCTGCCAGTAGCTCGGTGTCCTGCGCTTGACTTCACTCACAGCATACACGTCACCCTGACCGGGTCAAACGTTTCAGGTAGCTTTCCACAAGCTTCCCACAATAAGTTGGATGAATTTTGGCCCATTCCTCCTGACAGAGCTGGTGTAACTGAGTCAGGTTTGTAGGGCTCCTTGCTCGCACACACTTTTTCAGTTCTGCCCACACATTTTCTATAGGATTGAGGTCAGGGCTTTGTGATGGCCACTCCAATACCTTGACTTTGTTGTCCTTAAGCCATTTTGCCACAACTTTGGAAGGATGCTTGGGGTCATTGTCCATTTGGAAGACCCATTTGCGACCAAGCTTTAACTTCCTGACTGATGTCTTGAGATGTTGCTTCAATATATCCACATAATTTTCCTTCCTCATGATGCCATCTATTTTGTGAAGTGCACCAGTCCCTCCTGCAGCAAAGCACCACCAAAGCATGATGCTGCCACCCCCGTGCTTCATGGTTGGGATGGTGTTCTTCGGTTTGGGACCCCCTTTTGCCTCCAAACATAACAATGGTCATTATGGCCAAACAGCTCTATTTTTGTTTCATCAGACCAGAGGACATTTCAACAAAAAGTACAATCTTTGTCCCCATGTGCAGTTGCAAACCGTAGTCTGGCTTTTTATGGCGGTTTTGGAGCAGTGGCGTCTTCCTTGCTGAGTGGCCTTTCAGGTTATGTCGATATAGGACTTGTTTTACTGTGGATATAGATACTTTTGTACCTGTTTCCTCCAGCAGTTTTACAAGGTTCTTTGCTGTTGTTCTGGGATTGATTTGCACTTTTCGCACCAAAGTACGTTCATCTCTAGGAGACAGAACGCGTCTCCTTCCTGAGCGGTATGACGGCTGTGTGGTCCCATGGTGTTTATACTTGCGTACTATTGTTTGTACAGATGAACGTGGTACCTTCAGGCGTTTGGAAATTGCTCCCAAGGATCAACCAGACTTGTGGAGTTCTACAATATTTTTTTCTGAGGTCTTGGCTGATTTATTTTGATTTTCCCATGATGTCAAGCAAAGAGGCACTGAGTTTGAAGGTAGGCCTTGAAATACATCCACAGGTACACCTCCAATTGACTCAAATGATGTCAATTAGCCTATCAGAAGCTTCTAAAGCCATGACATCAATTTCTGGAATTTTCCAAGCTGTTTAAAGGCACAGTCAACTAAGTGTATGTAAACTTCTGACCCACTGGAATTGTGATACAGTGAATTATAAGTGAAATAATCTGTCTGTAAACAATTGTTGGAATAATTACTTGTCATGCACAAAGTAGATGTCCTAACTGACTTGCCAAAACTATAGTTTGTTAACAAGACATTTGTGGAGTGGTTGAAAAATGAGTTTTAATGACTCCAACCTAAGTGTATGTAAACTTCTGACTTCAAGTGTTTATTGTTGATATTCAACATTCGGAATGGCTTTGACGTTACAATATACTGTAATAATTGCCACCTCACTTTGTCTTTTTGCCTTCTGTTATGTCTATAGCATCTGTTGTTGGTCTCTTGTTATGTCTATAATATCTCTGGTTGGCTGTGTGTTTTGCAGGTGAGCTGTCCCCATGTAGAGTCAATAACGGTGGCTGTGGTGACCTGTGTCTGTTGACCCCAGATGGAAGAGTCAACTGTAGTTGTCGGGGAGCACGTGTCTTATTAGATGACAACAAATGCATTTGTAAGCCATGACGTTTTGCCTTTTTAAACGACCATACAGTAAATAATCTTGCAATTCTCACAAAAAATATAATGTAGTTGATTGCTCTACATTAACTGATTAACTTAGTTTCAGTGGAGAATATACAATGAGTATACCAAACATTAGGAACACCTTCCTAATATTGAGTTGACCCCCCCCCCCCCCCCTTTTTGCCCTCAGAACAGCCTCAATTCGTCGGGGCATGGAGTCTACAAGGTGTTGAAAGCGTTAACCTATCTCCTCCCCTTCATCTACACTGATTGGATTTAACAAGTGGCATCAATAAGGGATCATAAATTAGCTTTCACCTGGATTCAGTCGGTCATGTTTTGTATACTCAGTGTATGTACTTCTGACATCAAGGTCATACTGGCACGGTTACAGCTAAGCTTAGTGCAGCTTCTGCTAACTTTGAGACCACAGCTAAAGTCATTATGGTAAGAGAATAAATCAACATTTGACTTGACTAAGCTAATTAAACAAGTCATCTACTTTTGCAGCCGAGAATTCCTCCTGCAACATCCACACAGAGTTTGAATGCGGAAATGGCGAGTGCATCAACTATCAGTTCACGTGTGATGGAGTAGCTAACTGCAAAGACAAGTCAGATGAGAAAATGCAATACTGTGGTAAGCAATTTATCTTACTGTATATCAGCATTTTTGTACTTCAAAATCTGCCTTTGGAAATCTCTCCCAGTGAACAAAAATATAATTCACTATCTACAATTATACAACGGGTGTGTCTAATCCTGGACACTGATTGGTTAAAACCTAATTCCAGCGAGTTACTACCGGCTAAAGCTATGACGTTGAAATGCCTATTTACTCTGTTACATCTCACTGCGCAATCCACTGTCTCATCAGCCCAGCCAGTCAATTTATAAACTTGATCTCCACTGTAAAAAGCATCTAGACATTATCTCCCATTTCATTTATACTAGCAATTGGTTTTCAATAGTGCCGATTTGTATAAACCTTGCTGTCTGTCTCTGACATTTGCAACATTGTTTCAGTATTAAAATTAGATCTCCAGCTGACCCATAGTAATGAACGTGTAGGGGTCGGGAGTTGGGATGAGACAGACAGGAAGGCAGCTTTTCACAGCCAGTCGAAATCATGAATCAGCCTAATTTTTATGGATATATACAAAGAAATGTCAATAGAAAAGAGGTCAAACGAAATGAAGTGCAGCTAGTTTGCAGTCTTTCCAGCTTCAGTTTGACGTGATTGTGTTAGGTGTGTTGTTGGCTAGCTCCTCTCAACAACAGTGTCCTGACGAAAGAGCAAATGTTCTATGCCAGGTAAAATTGCGCATTGTTAGCTCATTATGGATGTATCCAAATAAATGTCACTAGAAAACATCTTAAACAAATGCAAACACAGCTACTTTGTTGGTATTCTGGCTGCACTATTTCACGTGACTGTAAGTTAGCCGTAGTTGGCTAGCTAGCAAGCAAGGGATAAGAACGTTGTCAGCCAGTATAGCAATAGAACATTTAGAACGAACGACTGGGTCGTTAACATTGTTCTTATCCCTTGCTTGTATAAAAGTGATAATGCCCTCAAAGCCGGTGTTTGGCGGATATATTGGCAAGGTTTGCCGGCCCTCGACTTCATCTTGGGCCTAACAACTCCCGTGCCAATATATCCTCCAAACACCGGCTTCTCTGGAATGATCACTTAACTACATGCTAGCAAGATAGCCTGGTCACATCTTATGTGCTGTAACCATCCATATGGCATGACAACAATAGCAGGGTTGGCTACAGCACATATGACAACCATACACTCTTAGAAAAAAGGGTTCTTCGTCTGTCCCCATAGGAGAAACCTTTTTGGTTCCAGGGAGAACCCTTTTAGGTTCCACGTAGAACCCTTTTGGGTTCCATTTAGAACCATCTGTGGAAAGGGTCCTACATGGAACCCAAAAGGGTTCTACCTGGAAACAAAATGGCACGCCCCCATTCTCATCGACAGGGCTGTAGTGGAACAGGTTGAGAGCTTCAAGTTCCTTGGTGTCCACATTACCAACAAACTATCATGGTCCAAACACACCAAGACAGTCGTGAAGAGGGCATGACAAAGCCTATTCCCCCTCAGGAGACTGAAAAGATTTGGCATGGGTCCTCAAATCCTCAAAAAGTTCTACAACTGCACCATTGAGAGCATCCTGACTGGTTGCATCACCGCCTGGTATGGCAACTGCTCGGCCTCCGACCGCAAGGCACTGGGGCCAAGCTTCCTGCCATCCAGGACCTCTATACCAGGCGGTGTCAGAGGAAGGCCCTAAAAATTATCAAAGACTCCAGCCACCCTAGTCATAGACTGTTCTCTCTGCTACCGCATGGCAAACGGTACCGGAGCACCAAGTCTAGGTCCAAAAGGCTTCTTAGCAGCTTCTACCCCCAAGCCATAAGACTCCTGAACAGCTAATCATGGCTACCCGGACTATTTGCACTGCCCCCCCCACCCCATCCTTTTTACGCTGCAACTACTCTGTTTATTATTTATGCATAGTCACTTTAACTCTACCCACATGTACATATTACCTCGACTAACCGGTGCCCCCGCACATTGACTCTGTACCGGTACCCCCTGTATATAACCTCCCTACTGTTATTTTATTTCACTGCTGCTCTTTAATTATTTGCTATTTAAATTTGTTTCTTAAAAACTGCATTGTTGGTTAAGGGCTTGTAAGTAAGCATTTCACTGTAATGTCTACCCCTGTTGTATACGGCGCATGTGGCAAATAAAAAGGGTTCTTCAAAAGGACAGCCAAATAACCATTTTAGGTTCTAGATAGCCCCTTTTTTTTTTTTTCTAAGAGTGTAGAAGAGCACATAGTGTGGGACTACGCCAGTTGTAATCTAGAGGACGACATGTGAAGAAAGTGACAGTAGCCTAAGGACTACCATTAGCATTTTGTTTGGAAGTGAACATATTTTGTTTTGTCATTTTGTCAGACAACAGGAACTGTAGGAGAGGCTTCAGGGCGTGCTACAACCAGCGCTGTGTGGCCAACAGTCGTTTTTGCGACGGGGTCGATGACTGTGGGGATAACTCAGACGAGGCCTTCTGTAACAGTGAGTATGGATAGAACGCTTAATCTCCCAGTCAATCCTGACGCCTCAGAAGGCAGGTCCCTCTCTGCTTACGCTCTCTCACTGTGTGGGTGGGTGGGTGCGTGTGTGTGTGCAGCCTTGCAGGCTCCACACTGGGCTAAGCCCATCTCTTTAATGAGCCCCAACATCACATAGCTCCTTGTACTCAAATACCAAGGACCACTCCTCAGAGACAGAAGGGGAGGATGTTAGGCACAAAATGTTCAGAAAATTATCATTAGATTGGCTCACTCTTCACGTTGTCATTTGTCATCATTTTCTACAAAATGATAAGTAATCATGCAAAGATGGCCCCTAATCGCCAGTGTTTGTATTTTCTATTCAAATCAAATGGTATTCAAAATCCAATTTGCTATTTTTTAAATTTTGTTTCTGGGGCTGTGATTCAGCTGCATGCAGTTGGTCTAGAGGAAAACAAATCTAGCACTGTTTAACAGGAACTTAATGTGCTTTAAACCTGAAACAAGACAATTAAGAGAGGCTGTGAGGCAGCAGTTCTCTAAAGATGGATGAAGCTTTCCAGGACTGTGATATCAGGCACATCTAGCTGTAATGTGTCTCAAAGCATGCAGTCGGTCCGGTTTTTAATGGTAAATAATCAACAGAACCCCTGTTAAAACGTTTAATTATATGCATCTAAATGAAAAGACCAAAGTAAATTGAGCAAGAAAACCCCTTCTCTTCACTAGAGCTATCAAATATAATGTCTCTGTAGGGTCTTAATATCTAATGTGTAGTGGTTTATTAGTAGGGCTCATAATAACAGACCATAAATGGCTTTCCCATAAACTAAATTATCATAAATAAGTCCTGAAATTATCATGTTTTTAGATTACTCATATGTTTTTTTGTTTGCTTTGAACTGATTCGCACGCGCACACACACACCCCTGACATCCTCCCTATCCTAGATATTCTCCCTGAACCTGATGCTAAACACTACTGAGTCATCTACCTGTTTCACACTATTAAGCGCTCTCTCTCTCCCTGATGATTTAGCATCGGGCCTTTTTGAAGTGTTAATTTCCCCTTCCCTCTCTCAGATGTCACGTGTGTGTCGTCTGAATCATGCTGCCAGGATGGGAGCTGTATCACCAGCTCAGCCTGGTGTAACCAGGTCATTGACTGTGCTGATGCCTCAGATGAAAAGAACTGCAGTAAGTTAAGCCTTTTCAAGGTGTGGTGTGTGATGATCCAAAAAAGTGTTAGTTTGCAAACATGGTAGCCTGTTATCACCATTGATGGATCACTTGGGTTCAGTCATCCAGCATTATCCAGATTATATTTACAGTCTTATTACACAGGTAAAAGAGCAACTAAATGTTCAGTGTTCACGTGACTTTTACCTGTTTATACCTTATCCATCCAAATGCAGGAGAAGTGTTAGTGACTATTTGTAGTAGCTAATGTTTAGCTAGCTAATGTTTTTGTGTAGACCACACAGACTGCTCTGACTTCTACAAACTGGGAGTAAAAGAGAGAGTCTTCATTAGCTGTAACTCCACCTCACTGTGTATCCACCAATCCTGGATCTGTGATGGAGCCAACGACTGTGGAGATTACGCAGATGAGACCAACTGCCAGGGTGAGTCTCCTCTCCTCTCCTCTCGTCACCTCTCCTCCTCTCCCCATGCTCTCTGCTTAGGGAAGACAGATTGAGGAAGTCAGCTTCAACTAGAGAAGAGTTAGAGAAAATCATAAAACATACATTTGATTTCCTGAAGTGATTAGGCAAGCCAGATTTAGGGATTCTGAGAGAATCACCTCTAACACCCAGACGACTCTTCCCTTCCATTGTTGTCTGCCCTAGTTTCGCATGGGCAGAAGTGTGAAGATGGCCACTTCGCCTGCCCCAGCGGTAACTGCATCTCCAGTGTTTGGCTGTGTGATGGACAGAAGGACTGTGAGGACGGAGCAGATGAATTTCAGTGTGGTAAGGCTTTGCTATGTTGATGGTCCATTACATTACAAATATACTATTTATAAGACGGCTTGTCCGAATGACTTAAAGACATCTATAGGAAGCCACAAATCCAGTGTATTTATATGGACAGAAAGACTGTGATAACTTGGCCGATGAAGTTCAGTGTAGTAAGGGGTTGCTATGTTTATAAGACCATGTGGGTAGCGACATTACATTCCACTACAAAGAGACCATTTATTATTGGGTTTGTTTGAATGACTTCTAGACAACCACAGGAAGCCACAAATCCAGTGTTAGTCATGACAAATCAGTAATGATTAGAGTTAATTGTACGGTACGTCACAGAGCCATGTCTCTACTACAAGTTCTATTGTTCATCCTCATTGTGGGTTTAATTGCATTTCGAAGCTGTCTGCTAACCTACTTGTGGGTGTTGTAGAGAGAGTCTCTCTCCCGCCCAGATATTCAAATATAGCCACTTAAAAAGGACACTGTTTTTTTTCCTGGCTTTGAATTAGCATATTCTACCTTTGTGTGTAACAATTAATTAATTAGCCATCAGTCATTGTGAGTTGTTACCAGAGATGGAAACATGTGGGTTCACTGAAAAGTGACTGACATCTAAAAGGATCACATGGAATGTTGCTTTCACATGGAACCCTCTTACCCACTCTCACCAGGGAAGACAAGAACAGTTCTAGCCCACCTCTTTGATCCTCTTTAATGTTTGCTAACTTACCATGACAAAGTAAAGGACTTTCCCATTAGATAGCTAGAGCATAATTGAGTCATGGTCTGGGTAAATATAATTTGCTATCAAACCAATGACTTATTAATGTACAGTGGGGAAAAAAAGTATTTAGTCAGCCACCAATTGTGCAAGTTCTCCCACTTAAAAAGATGAGAGAGCCCTGTAATTTTCATCAAAGGTACACGTCAACTATGACAGACAAAATGAGAATTTTTTTTCCAGAAAATCACATTGTAGGATTTTCTATGACTTTATTTGCAAATTATGGTGGAAAATAAGTATTTGGTCAATAACAAAAGTTTCTCAATACTTTGCTATATACCCTTTGTTGGCAATGACACAGGTCAAACGTTTTCTGTAAGTCTTCACAAGGTTTTCACACACTGTTGCTGGTATTTTGGCCCATTCCTCCATGCAGATCTCCTCTAGAGCAGTGATGTTTTGGGGCTGTCGTTGGGCAACACGGACTTTCAACTCCCTCCAAAGATTTTCTATGGGGTTGAGATCTGGAGACTGGCTAGGCCACTCCAGGACCTTGAAATGCTTCTTACGAAGCCACTCCTTCGTTGCCCGGGCGGTGTGTTTGGGATCATTGTCATGCTGAAAGACCCAGCCACGTTTCATCTTCAATGCCCTTGCTGATGGAAGGAGGTTTTCACTCAAAATCTCACGATACATGGCCCCATTCATTCTTTCCTTTACACGGATCAGTTGTCCTGGTCCCTTTGCAGAAAAACAGCCCCAAAGCATGATGTTTCCACCCCCATGCTTCACAGTAGGTATGGTGGTCTTTGGATGCAACTCAGCATTCTTTGTCCTCCAAACACGACGAGTTGAGTTTTTACCAAAAAGTTCTATTTTGGTTTCATCTGACCATATGACATTCTCCCAACCCTCTTCTGGATCATCCAAATGCACTCTAGCAAACTTCAGACGGGCCTGGACATGTACTGGCTTAAGCAGGGGGACACGTCTGGCACTGCAGGATTTGAGTCCCTGGCGGCGTAGTGTGTTACTGATGGTAGGCTTTGTTACTTTGGTCCCAGCTCTCTGCAGGTCATTCACTAGGTCCCCCCGTGTGGTTCTGGGATTTTTGCCCACCGTTCTTGTGATCATTCTGACCCCACGGGGTGAGATCTTGCGTGGAGCCCCAGATCAAGGGAGATTATCAGTGGTCTTGTATGTCTTCCATTTCCTAATAATTGCTCCCACAGTTGATTTCTTCAAACCAAGCTGCTTACCTATTGCAGATTCAGTCTTCCCAGCCTGGTGCAGGTCTACAATTTTGTTTCTGGTGTCCTTTGACAGCTCTTTGGTCTTGGCCATAGTGGAGTTTGGAGTGTGACTGTTGAGGTTGTGGACAGGTGACTTTTATACTGATAACAAGTTCAAACAGGTGCCATTAATACAGGTAAGGAGTGGAGGACAGAGGAGCCTCCTTAAAGAAGAAGTTACAGGTCTGTGAGAGCCAGAGATCTTGCTTGTTTGTAGGTGACCAAATACTTATTTTCCACCATAATTTGCAAATAAATTCATGAAAAATCCTACGTGATTTTCTGGGTTTTTTCTTCTCAATTTGTCTGTCATAGTTGACGTGTACCAATGATGAAAATTACAGGCCTCTCATCTTTTTAAGTGGGAGAACTTGCACAATTGGTGGCTGACTAAATACTTTTTTCCCCCACTGTATACCATACATGTCATTGCTTCTGTCATCAAAGTGAAGAAGAAGGATCTTCCAAGAGCATTTGAGTGCCACTGAGGTGTTAAGACGTATCCTCACCTCACCTCTGTCACAGTTAGGCTTCAGATTTAATAAATGCACTGAACTACTGAGGAATTATTTCGTTTTGATACAATGGCCCACACAAATAACACTGTCATGTGTTAACTGTCTTGAAGAGTAAGATCATACTTGTTTATTGAAGTGAAATAAATTACAGTAAATTGTCTAAATCAAGGGACGAACGAGGTTTGGTAATCATATTTAAGGAATTACATGTTAACAGGGTGACTCATAGGAGACCGTTTTCATTTCATCTAACATTATGTGTACCATCAAAGGAGTGAAGAATACTTTCCCATTCATTTAGCTAAGTGCTTCATCATTGTTTGAATTTATTTGAATTAGAAATCATGGTATTGAGAATAAAAAACATACTGTAGCTCCTTTCAAAGCTGAGCAGAATGATGCTGCTGTCTGAATGGCATTCAGTCTGTTAATGTTTAGAATTGGCATTCTCAGGACAAATAGAATATATTCAAATCTCTCTGAGTTAATTACCATATAAAAAGCCAGCGCTATTGATAAACTACAGTAAAGGAAAACGGTTTGAAGAAAATGTCGTTATTTCACTGGAAATCCAAAATCTCACAACTGATTAGATGAAATACTTGTCATTGTAAAACGTCTGAGCTTTCCCTGTACAGTGAAATACCATGGAAGCCTAAGATATGAACTATTAGCATCTATTCAAAACTGAATGGGCCTTTGCGAGACTATCTGAAAGAGACAGAGGCACTGGATCTAGGCCCCCAAGGGAGGGTGGTTCTGTGAATTTAAATGAATCCCGATGTGAAGATATTTGTTCCTATTTGTATCTCCATCATCTGTGATTATGTCCAGTTCAACAGTATAAGACTTATTTTTGATTTACAGTGTGCAAAACAGTGTGACCTTGATAGGAAAAGCATATATGATCTATGAATAGACACCAGACCTGGGTTCAAATACATGAATATTTAAATACTTATTTTCTGTCTATTTTCAAATAATGTGGGCATATCAGCTACTTCTATTTGAAGTATTTTCAAATACATATTTCAAAATACATTATTTAATATACCTCTAGGACGAAACAGACCTGGGTTCAAATGCATGGAGTATTTAAATATGTGTATCTGTCTGTGTATTTTCAAATACATGCCCATACTTTCCAAGTGTATTTCCAAATACATCGCAATATTCAACTGCTTGTATTTTCAAAGAAAAAATATCCAAATACTTACAGTACTTCAAAATGTCTTTGGAAGTAATTAGAATGTATGATTCAGTATGTTACGAATTCCAATTCGTACAATATGTTACGAATTTGTTAGGAATTCGCTCTGGATGAGAGCATCTGCTAAATGACTAAAATGTCAAATGTAATGACATTATTTCAATCATATACCCCTTGGGCAACATTTGTTATTCTTCACATTTTTGCATTATGCAAAGCTCCAGTCATTTGATTTAGAAAATAAAAACGTAACTGTAAATGTTTTTTTCCTTTCATATTTGTAACCAGTCAGCTCCCCTTAAAACCCCTACAGATTTTTTATACTAAAAACTGAAGAATAGAAAACTCACAAGGTCTTCTATTTGGCTCCAAGGCCAGTCACCCTCTCTGAAAATAGAAAGGCTAAGGGGCAAATGAGAACAGTCACCTGTTGTGCTTTGATTGAAAAGAACTAGGCGACTTCTACTACAGTGTGTTGTTTTTGTCCTGTTTTTCTTTCACTTACGTGTTTTGATTTATGGCTTTGGGAATGTGCTGTTTCTCCCCTAGACTCCTCTTGCCTGTGGAACCAGTTTGCCTGCTCTAAGAACAAGTGCATCGCGAAGCAGTGGCTGTGTGATGGAGAGAACGACTGTGAGGACGGACTGGATGAGAGTGTGCAGATCTGTGGTAAGTACCCACGGTCATGTGGCAATACTTTGGGTGAAGGTAACATGTATCTCAAACATGCAGTTTGATACCAGTCTGACAACCTGATTACAACATTGTACAACATTGTTTTGAGATCAGTTGTAGACCTTTGAGTTTTAGACTAGACTATTGAAATTATGATAACACAGAAATGAAATTAGAGACAGATTAAAAATACTTCGACGAGGTGGTGAGGGAAAATTGATTTTTCATCATTATAGCCAAGAGGCAGAGCAATTTCACCACATAAATGAGATGTTACAATAATGAATTTCCCAATAAACAGAAATAACCATACAACAATAAATATAACATGTTTGCTGGGAACAGTGGTATAATTGGATTGTAATGGAAATGTCAAGGCAATATTAATGAAATAGCCCTAAGCCTTTCCCTGCACTATTGCCATTGAAAGCAAGAAAGTGCATTTTAACCAGACAAGCATTATTGAGCAAAATTAGGATTTTGATTAATTTCATTGTATTGTCTCTGAGGCCACATAAAATGTAACAGATCTTATACAATATATGCCTATGCTTGAATGTAAGTGGCAAGAAGGGAATTGATATTATAATTTTTGCATCCTACATTGGAACTCATAGTGGTCTTAGGTTATAGTTCAGCTCAGTCCATTATGCAGTTTGCTTGACCTGTCCCCTTTTTCACCCTATTTGCCCCATCAGGTTTGGTGACGTGTGCTCCAGGGCTATTCAGCTGCCCTGGGTCCTACGCCTGTGTCCCCAAACGCTGGCTCTGTGACGGGGAGAGAGACTGTCCTGATGGCAGCGACGAACTGGCTGCAGCTGGATGTGGTAAGTTTGCAATGGCCCTCCATATTAATGTTAAATAGTAAAGATAGTGTTGTCTGTGGCTCTATCTGTTGGTGTGATCTTTTGTTGTCATTTATGTCAATGCTGATTGGGTAACACTTTACATTGTTGCCCCTATTACTATGTAGCTACACAGTAATAACTGTAGTAAAAACATACTAGTTAAATAGGTGCTTCTATGTTATTACATGGCAATACGGTTGTAGCGCTATCAGTTATTACACAATTGGAACAAGGAATGTGTAATTACACATCCACTTGCTGAAGGTTATTCTTTTTTTTTTTTTTTTTTTTTTTTTAGTCATTTAGCAGACGCTCTTATCCAGAGCGACTTACAGGAGCAATTAGGGTTAAGTGCCTTGCTCAAGGGCACAACGACAGATTTTTCACCTAGTTGGCTCGGGGATTAGAACCAGCGACCTTTCGGTTACTGGCACAACGCTCTTAACCACTAAGCTACCTGCCGCCCCCATGTTTGATTACTGATGTTATTACACATTTTCTTGTTCTACTATTTAAGGAATGTTTTGTAATTACACGTTTGAAAGTTACCTGTGAATTACCATGTTAATAACTCAAACCAAAATCTGACCTTGTTACATGTAACTACAAGGTGCCACTACCATCAAATTCACATGTAATACCACGATTAATAAATAGGCTAGGACCTGGTAACAACAATTGTAACAAGGCACACCCTGTCATTAACTACTGGTCATTTTCAATTAGTTTATTTATATTGTAAATATTGTATTTTCAGCTGTTTGAAGCTGGTGTACTAAACCGAAAGTAAAAGACGCAAAAACGAAAGTTGAGACCGGGAAGCATAGAAATAGCACACATAGAACAGATCTACCGCTTCTTAGACTTGCTTTCAATGAGAATGACAGATCTATAACTCACATTTCTATGCGGATTTGGTCGGGCTTTAATGTAAAGTGAAGTGACATTTTTTTATTACTTTGTAGTTACAATGTAACAATCTTTGCAAACAATAGGCTAACCAGGAGAAAATAAGGAGACAGGAAAACATTTTTAAATTTTTTACACTTACATTTCACCTTTGCACATTACAAACCTATGAAAACACGACAAATTAAGAGACCGAAATGGCATGTGGCTTCCATTTTGGCTGCAGAGGAGAGCGTGAGAGGTCGGTGTGATGTCACTTCCTGGTGACACCCCAGCATTCCTCTGACGGCTTGATTTTCTTCTTTTGAATGTGCAAACATACAATGTCAGTCACTAAATAGTGAACAAAAAAGGTTAACTAAATGTTTCATGAGTTGTTGTTTTTTACGATTTTGTAGAAGTTCGAGTTCACCAGGAATTAAATTAAAGTGAAATGAAAATACCTCCTCCACCCCCACCCCACTTCCTCCAGTGCCGACTCCATATTGTTGAGCATATGCATTGTGATGCCACATCTCTAGACTGATGATGTTGACTCATAGTGTAACCCTTCATGATAATTACAAGTATATCCTATGTAACTACATTGTTTTTACATTACACTTCATATAGATTTGAGCCAGGTCATAACATAGAAATAAACTAATTGAAAATTACCAGTAGTTAATGACAGGGAGTGCCTTGTTACAATTGTTGTTACCAGGTCCTAGCCTATTTATCAATCCTGGTATAACATGTGGATTTGACGGTAGTGGCACCTTCATTAGTTGTTGTTTTTACGATTTTGTAGAAGTTAGAGTTCACCAGGAGTTAAATTAATATAGTGAAGCGCAAATACCTCCACCACCCTCACTCCACCTCCTCCAGTGCCGACTCCATATTGTTGAGCATATGCTTTGTGATGCCACATCTCTAGAGTGCCATGTTATTGTTGACTCATAGTGTAACCCTTTAACCATGCTTCTCACCCCACTAGCACCCAACAACACATGTGATGACAACTCCTTCCGTTGCCACAACAAAGCCTGCGTCCCCCCGCGTTTTGTCTGTGATCATGACGACGACTGTGGTGATGGATCTGACGAGTCACTTGAATGTGGCAAGTTGATTTGTTGCTTTGTCTTCATTACCTCACATAGAGGAATAACTGAGTAATAACATTGCATTATAATAGAGTTTAAACTCATTAAGACCTTACTGTAACAGTTAGAAATGAGTTGGAAGTAGAATGCCTTTACAGTAATCTAACTAGGATCTGTGATGTGTTGGCCCGTGTGAGTGTCAGTTAGTGAGGCTGCAGCGCTCTCTTTGTCTCTCTATCTCTGCAGAGTACCGGTCCTGTGGACCTGAGGAGTTTCGCTGTGGGGACGGCCGCTGCCTGCTCAGTGCTCAGTGGGAGTGTGACAGCTACCCAGACTGTCCTGACGGATCTGATGAGCTGCCCCTGAACCTCAAATGCCTGGCTGCAGGTAATGTAGTCTACTGTTGTTAGTACTTTCTGGCTGCAGGTAGTATAGTCTACTGCTGTTTGCCTAGCCGCAGGTACTGTCTCCTGCTGTTTGGTTCTCTCTACCAATCTATCCATTACTGTCAGCAGTCTAACTAAGACAGGATAGAAACCAAAGATATAAAGACAGTACGAGTAACATTTTCCGAATAGCATTAATCTGTGGATCTTGGAATCTTGAATAAAGTTAATCTAATTTACTAAGACGCAGATTAAATGATAACTATAGGAAATGCTTTTTACTTCACCATTGAGTTATAAATTACCTTCCAGGGAGTCTGTGCAACGGTTCCTTCTTCATGTGTTCCAATGGACGCTGCATCTCTGAAGGGAGTCTGTGTGACAAGAAAGACGACTGTGGAGACATGTCCGATGAGAAGAACTGCAACGTGAACGAGTGTCTGAATCGCAGAGTCAGTGGCTGCACACAGGACTGTCAGGAACTTCCTGTTGGATACAAGGTAGGAATCACCACTCTCGGGCTTTGATATGTAACTTGTACAACTGTACATGGGCCAGTATACTCAGAATCATAATCAAGATTAGGTTTCCTTTCCTCAGGTTTTATAAGTTCTAGATATCCCGTCCTTAGTTATGTCATAGACAGATTGATAGGTGGACAGTTGTAACACACTGGAGGGTTTACAGGTATTACCAATAATAATGTAGCCAAAACAATAAACATTTTAAATAAGTACAGAACCTGAGTTTAATCAAGGAAACTTTATTGTTTCTGAAATGTTTTGTATGAATAAGCCTATAACACAGCACTGGTAAAGTGCCAACATTATTTTGTCCTTGTTTTGATTATTTAAATGATTGATTATGTTGTGCCTGAGGCTATATTAGGCTTACCCACACAAGCTAAAAACACACAAACACAGTCAAGCAAGCAAGCACAATCAATCCAACACAGAGTAAGGTTATACACACAGTACAGTAGTATCCTATCATCATATTGTACACACACCTATGCTATGGATACAAGTGATGAAAGATTAGTAAATGGTTTTGGGGAGGCTTCCGTGCCAGCTGTTCAGGGGCATGTTTGTTTGCTGGTCAAAGAGAAAGGCTGTGTCTCAAATGGCACCCTATTCCCTAGTGCACTACTTTTCACCAAAGTCCTATGGACCCTAGATAGGGAATATGGTGACATTTGAGCCACAGCCAGAGAGAAGGACAGTTCTGCTGAGTGTTCTGAGGGGTGACTATGCTATTCTGCTGTCTGGCCTGGATGCAGGGCACGGTCATCGCTCCGGGGTGACCCCACAGCCATCAGAGATGTCAGAATAACACACCCTGACCCTCACTTTGGGTTCTCCCCTTGCCCCCCTCCTGCCTCCCCCTCTTGCCCCCCTCTTGCCTCCTCCTTGCCCTCCTCTTGCCTCCTCCTTGCCCACTGCTCTCTGCATTACAAAGTGACCAACAAGGACAGAGTAAAAAAGTATTCACTGACCTGGCTGTCTAGAGACTGAAGCATAACAGAGCTGGATGACCAGAGAGCACATCAACAGACACCCCTAGCTCATTCATCCGGCCTGAACAGATAGATCAGCAGAAAGGCCTGCAAGGTTAGAACTGTAGATCAGAGAGGGATTTAAGCAGGGGCCAGTAACAGCTGATACAAGCACTTTGAGTTATTTTGGGCTGGAGTTGCAGAATGGCAGCAGTTTTCTTTTATTTTTTGTTGTTCTTGCGCCATGACGTTTGTCATCATACTGATGCCAGTGTTTTTTATTGGTCTTGTGTTATTTTGTGAGTAGATGTAATGGCAAATTGAGAAGTTAGAGTTAAGTGAGTGTTGTTAAAAGAAAATGATGGTGCAATTGAAAATTGTAGCTGAATGTCCCTCTCTCTGCAAAGCATTTACTGTATCAACCAGCTGGTGCAATATCTTGAATAAATAGACTACAACTTGTTAAATTTGTCTCAACTAAAATATGCTCCATTACTTCTCTGTTCGTGTGATGATCAGTGCAAGTGTTGGACTGGATTCCAGCTGAAGGATGATGCGAAAACCTGTGTGGACGTTGATGAATGTTCCTCCAGCCTGCCCTGCAGCCAGCGTTGCATCAACACCTATGGATCATTCAAGTGTCTGTGTGTGGACGGCTACGAAGCCCTGGAGCGCAGCCCCAACACCTGCAAGGCTCTCTCAGGTAAGGCTATTCACGTCTTGGTAACTAGCTTGTAGTGTATTAAACTGCTGTCTGTCGGAATGGTTCTCTAGTGATGTACAGTATTTCACAAGAGATGTTCTAAAGGATGTTTACCTATTTTCAGAAATATCAAGCTTAGTACTGTAGAATACCGGTACTGTAGTCTGATGGAATGGTTCCAGTGACACATTGGATTCCAGTGTTTTTTTTTGTTGACCTTATTCTAAAGGACATTTATGATTATGTTCTCTTCCTTTCAGTGGAGGAACCATTTCTCATACTGGCAGATCATCATGAAATCAGGAAACTAAGTGTGGATGGATCAAACTACACCATTTTGAAACAGGTAAGAGGAAACCATATATCTACAAGATATAGAAACCATATATCTACACAAGTGAAAGTATTTGTTTTAAACTAATGCCAAAATATGCATACAAACCTTAGTCTGTCTGTCACTCTGTTTTGGAAAGATAAGACCGTCTCAGGGTAAAATGACAGAAACCAGAAAATCAAGTGCACACAATTAGATCTGTAACCGTATCTGGTTTGCATATATTTGTCCCTGTCAGTCAGATTACCTTGCTACTACTCTGCCATGTTGCATTTAGTTAAGATTTTACATTTTAGTCATTTAGCAGATGCTCTTATCCAGAGCGACTTACAATTAGTGCATTCATCTTAAGATAGCTAGTTGTCGTTGTCTTGTTTCACATGTCCCTTATTCATCTGCTGAGTTTGACTGTTAATAACACACTGTTAGTGTGTGTGTGTGTGAGAGAGAGATTAAATCCTCTCTAATGAGTCAAACAGGATCATGAAATGGAACCGTGAAACCCTAATGGTGCAACAATTAAGATCCGTATAGTGACGCATCTGTTATAACAAGTGGCCCACAATCCTCATTTAGCCCTATTAATACTCTCTGCCTGCAAAGTGAGTCATTACGTAAATCAGTTAAATGTAGTCTATTTAGTGTCTTTGTACTAAGTACTGACACTTTTTCGTATATCATTGCCTAACTGGTAGCCTAGCAGGTAGCCTAGCGGTTAAGAGTGTTGGGCCAGTAACTGAGAGGTTGCTGGTTCGAATCCCTGAGCCAACTAGGTGAATAATCTGTTGATGTGTCCTTGAGCGACTTACCACTCAACCCTAATTGCTCTGGATAAAACCATCTGCTAATTGACTAAAATGGAAACTGATAAATGTATGGTATATTGCATTTAGTGTCTTTGTGCAAAATACTGACACCTTTTCGTGGATCATTGCCTAAGCTAATTGATACATGTACGGTATCTTGTTTGTGTTTCTTTATATTCATTTCAAAGTGCTCCAGGTTACTTAGATACAGGTATAGTGATTTTTTAAAAACATTAGTCATTTAGCAGACGCTCTTATCCAGAGCGACTTACAGTTTGTGAATACATTTTTTTTTTTTTCATAATGGACTTTTTTACAGCAAAATGTTCAGTATGACCCCAATACTTCACATTCCCATTTCATGGGAAATATCAGAAGCATCTTTAGCAGAGATATACTTGGTCTAGGTAGCCTTGCCTGACCTCGTTATGAAGAGGAAATGATAGTTGAGATGTTGTGTCAGAAGAGCCACAGCTGCTTACTACTTACAGTGATAGCTGTACCTTGAGGCATTACATTACATCATTTTGTCATTCTCCAGCTTGTCAACCTTCCAATTTCAATGTGATTCTTCACTCGCCCTCCCTGTGGGGGAGTCGACCTGCTCGTGTTGATTGGCAGTGGGAAATAGTGTTAGCGAGGTCCCTACAGAGAATCTATTTCAATCACGGTTAGGCCTCATCACCACGGTCATGTTAGCCACTTGAATCCCAGGTTCATTATATGAATCACACACTCTGAGAATAGAGTTTAACCTAGGGGAATTCTATAGGGGCCTATTGAGAATCATCTCCTCCTCCTGACTCTGTTGAGAGGCCTGGCTGGCCTCAGCAACAATCATTCACTTTAATCACTATGTTAGCATTAATGGAAGCTGAAGTGGGGGGGATCTGCATATGGCCGTCTCTACTAAGTAGCACCGCTGCATTACTGTCTGGCTGACAATCCACTGACCTCGTGTCAGTGTATCAAACCATTACATGTTCAATGTAGGTCATGCCACTAATGATTTTATGTAAATCTGAGATGATGATCCAATTAGCATGTTAGAGTTACATTCCATGTAATGAAAAGGGTTAATACTGTATCTGGGCTTAATCACACTACAAATGCAGTCGAGTCATCTTACCATATCCATCATTTTCATACAATTAGGCCTACAATAGACTTTATTATGCCTGATGATAGGCCTACTTTGGACCTCTGTCTTTCTCCCCCTTTGTATTATTAAATGTAAGAGATTGAGTCCGCCCATGTGCAGTGCTTTCCTCCAATGAGCTGTTTGGCCTTAAGAGCTGCTCTGTCTGAGAGTGAGAGGAAAGAGAGTGCTCCCCCAGAGAGGTCCCTAAGGACACTGGCACAGGCTGTCTTTGAGGGTGTTGATGATCTGATGAAGATGTCTGGTACAGCCTGTCAGATTCTCCGACACCTTATCCTGGCACCTGCCGTGCAGCCCAGCAGAGGAGGTGCAATTGTTTAGGGAGTGGTTCCTACCCCTGACAGGGGGTCTTCTGAACATGACAGCAAGAGATGTGCCTCACTCTTATTTCTTTGATAGGATAGGGCTTCTCTTGGTTGTACTTCAGTTTTCACTGGGTTTAAGAAAATAGCTGAAGGCAGTCACTGCATCTCGTGGGGAAAATTGTCCAAAATCAATATTGTTACTGAATATCACATCGAGCCACAAGGTTCGATTTTGGGTTCGGTACTGTTCAGTTTATATATGTAACCCCTTGGCAGCATTATCAGAAAGCACAGCATAGATATTTACTGCTACGCAGACGATACACAACTTTACATTTCTGTGTCAACAGAGGATTTTAGAATGTATTAGTGATTTTAAATACTTGGATGGGTCACAACTTCCTCCGGTTAAATCAAGACAAGACCGAGGTACTTATTGTTGGAGCCAAAGCATATGTTGAGTCTTGACATTGTTTGGAACATGTGTATCAAGTTTTGTTACATTATGAATATCTGTGTGATTTAAACGCATTTATGTGCCAGACCACGACCAGGTGATTGTTTATTGGTCAGTAGAGGCCATGTTCTGTGAGAGTAGAGGCCATGTTCTGTGAGAGTAGAGGCCATGTTCTTTGAGAAGCTAGCTTGGGAAATATTGAGTTGAGAGACCTTGGGCCATAGACGCTATATATAACGTTTTGTGCAGATCAGTCATTCGGTGCCAGAGGATTAGTGTTTTAAGTGTTTTTCACAAAATTCTAAATGTCGTCCTTGAGGCAAATCTGTTCCTTGTGAGTAGAGAGACCTATGTACCAAATTTCATAACTCTAGATCAAACATGGTGAGGGGCGTGACCTTTCAAAGTTTGCACAATCAATTGCTTGTTGTAGCGCCACCATCTGGCCAATTGGCATGGCATTGCATGAGAGGGTGTGGCATTGCATGAGAGGGTGTGGCCCATGGGCCTTTACTATCATGAGAATTTGCACCCTCCTAGGCCTTACCATCTCACAGGAATTTGTATTTTCCACCAAATCTGTGGAGAACTGGAATAATGAACATCAACAAATACAGAAGGGTGTCAACCAGCTTCGCTGCTTGGAACCCTAACTAAGTCTAAATGAGTTTACCGGCCAATATGTGTGGATTACTTACATCTGTGAATCACCCAGTTCCAAAGTCTCACTGAAGAAGATGCCCTCACTTACAGTATAAATACAGTGCTTTCGGAAAGTATTCAGACACCTTGACTTTTTCCACATTTTGTTTTGTTACAGCCTTATTCTATAATATATTAAATGTTTTTTTCCCTCAATCTACACACACTACCCCATAATGACAAAGCAAAAACAGGTTTTTAGAATTTTTGTAAATGCATAAAAAAAAAAAATGAAATATCACATTTATGTAAGTATTCAGACACTTTACTCAGTACTTTGTTGAAGCACCTTTGGCAGCGATTACAGCCTTGAGTCTTCTTGGGTATGACGCTACAGGCTTGGCACACCTGTGTTTGGGGAGTTCCTCCCATTCTTCTCTGCAGATCCTCTCAAGCTCTATCAGGTTGGATGGGGAGCGTTGCTGCACAGCTATTTTCAGGTCTCTCCAGAGATGTTTGATTGGGTTCAAGTCCGAGCTCTGGCTGGGCCACTCAAGGACATTCAGAGACTTGTCCCGAAGCCACTCCTGCATTGTCTTAGCTTTGTGCTTAGGGTCGTTGTCTTGTTGGAAGGTGAACATTTGCCCCAGTCTGAAGGTTTTCATCAAGGATCTCTCTGTACGCTCCGTTCATCTTTCCCTCGATCCTGACTAGTCTCCCAGTCCCTGCCGCTGAAAACATCCCCACAGCATGATGCTGCCACCACCATGCTTCACCATAGGGATGGTGCCAGGTTTCCTCCAGACATGACACTTTGCATTCAGGCCAAATAGTTCAATCTTGGTTTCATCAGACCAGATAATCTTGTTTCTCATGGTCTGAGAGTCCTCTAGGTGCCTTTTGGCAAACTCCAATCAGGCTGTCATGTGCCTTTTACTGAGGAGTGGCGTCCGTCTGGCAACTCTACCATAAAGACCTGACTGGTGGAGTGCTGCAGAGATGGTTGTCCTTCTGGAAGGTTCTCCCATCTCCACAGAGGAACTCTGGAGCTCTGTCAGAGTGACCATCGGGTTCTTGGTCACCTCCCTTACCAAGGCCCTTCTCCCCCGATTTGCTCAGTTTGGCCGGGCGGCCAGCTCTAGGAAGAGTCTTGGTGGTTCCAAACTTCTTCCATTTAAGAATGATGGAGGTCACTGTGTTCTTGGGGACCTTCAATGCAGAAATGTTTTGGTACTCTTCCCCAGATCTGTGCCTCGACACAATCCTGTCTCGGAGTTCTAGGACAATTCCTTCGACCTCATGGCTTGGTTTCTGCTCTGACATGCACGGCCAACTGTGGCACCTTATATAGACAGGTGTGTGCCTTTCCAAATCATGTCGAATCAATTGAATTTACCACAGGTGGACTCCAATCAAGTTGTAGAAACATCTCAAGGATGAGCAATGTAAATAAGTTATTTATTTTTAATACATTTGCTAAAATTTCTAAAAACCTTTTTTCACTTTGTCATTATGGGGTATTGTGTGTAGATTGATGAGGACATTTTGTTTTATTTAATCAATTTTAGAATAAGGCTGTAACATAACAAAATGTGGAAAAAGTCAAGGGGTCTGAATACTTTCCGAATGTACTGTACTTTCTTTCTGCTCTTTGCATTACTGAAGCAATTTATGAAAGGTTATGATGACATACCACTTAATCACAGCATTTAGTTACTATTTCTTCTGCTTTTAACACTCAATTGCAATTCAAAAAGCTATTTAACTTCTGAAAAGAGGGCTTCAGGTAGCATTTACCCTTTATGTACAATTTCATGTAGCTTCTTCTTATATGTGCAGGTTTGTTCGTTGGGGTACTGTTCATGTCTGACTATTTTCTGTTTGTTTCCTGCATGGGTTTCTATGTGGTTTGTGTATGTAATGTCTAAACTGCAGTAAGATTTTCCTTTTCTAGGACAATAAATGTCAATCTAATCTAATAATTTATCTTGTGTATCCACAGGGCCTGAACAACATCATCCACATAGACTTTGACTACAAGAAGGAGTTCATCTATTGGATAGACTCTTCCAGACCCAGCGGACGGAGGATCAACAGAATGAGACTCAATGGGAGTGACCTTAAGGTACTGTGAGTGGAGTGAATGCCCCTGGATGCCCCTACCATATGTACCTACCTTATGCCATTTTACCCCTGAGAGCTTGCTCCCATGCACCATGCCCCATTTCCTTCTCACCATCCTCTCCTGCCCAGCTGGCTTCTCTTATGTAGATGAGGATCATCCTGCAGTACACACTGCAGTGTGAATGAACTTAGTTCACTCTTCGGCTGTGTCCCAATGGTACCCTACACCTTATATAGTACCCTCGTCAAAATTATGGGCCTATAAATTACTGCACTATAAAGGGAATAGAGTGCCATTTGGGATGCATCATTCAATGGACGTAGAGGTTGAAAATGTCATTGCTTCCAGTTGATAATTGATTCCTTCCATCCTGTTTATAGGCAGGCATCATAATGGACTAGTATCATTCACTGAGACATTAAACAGTGAGGCAACACTGTAATCAATGCCTATTAACAATACAGCAATTAGCTGAACGCAACAGGTCCGTAACATAACAGCTTTTCTCTGGATTAATCATGGAGGTCCGTTCGGGTCATGGAATTGGAGCCCAGAACACGCAGATGTCACAGGAACACCTGCTGACCGCCTCATCACTCCCCGTCCCCCCGTTCTCTCAACTCATTAGAATTAGTGTGTGGGGGGCAGGAGGCTCATTCAGCTCAATTACACCCAGGTTGTGTCCCAAATGGCACACCTATTCCCTATGTAGTGTACTAGGGGTCTGGTCAAAAGTAGTGCACTGTATAGGGAAATAGGGTGCCATTTTGGATACCAACCCCGTAGTCCCTGTTTGAGCCTCAACCACACTATCACCACCACCATGCCACCCTGCCACGGCTCAGCACCAGCTAAAGTGTTTGAGATAGATCTGTAGTTTTAGCATGGGGGTTAATTTTGACAACAGTGACTAAAGCTGGGGATTTGTGCTTGTGTACTACAAGGCAGAGGCAAGTTAATCCCAGTTAAATGAACAGCATACAGTGAGGGGAAAAAAGTATTTGATCCCCTGCTGATTTTGTACGTTTGCCCACTGACAAAGACATGATCAGTCTATAATTTTAAATGGTAGGTTTATTTGAACAGTGAGAGACAGAATAACAACAAAAAAATCCAGAAGAACGCATGTCAAAAATGTTATAAATTGATTTGCATGTTAATGAGGGAAATAAGTATTTGACCCCTCTGCAAAACATGACATAGTACTTGGTGGCAAAACCCTTGTTGGCAATCACAGAGGTCAGATGTTTCTTGTAGTTGGCCACCAGGTTTGCACACATCTCAGGAGGGATTTTATCCCACTCCTCTTTGCAGATCTTCTCCAAGTCATTAAGGTTTCGAGCCTGACGTTTGGCAACTCGAACCTTCAGCTCCCTCCACAGATTTTCTATGGGATTAAGGTCTGGAGACTGGCTAGGCCACTCCAGGATCTTAATGTGCTTCTTCTTGAGCCACTCATTTGTTGCCTTGGCCGTGTGTTTTGGGTCATTGTCATGCTGGAATACCCATCCACGACCCATTTTCAATGCCCTGGCTGAGGGAAGGAGGTTCTCACCCAAGATTTGACGGTACATGGCCCCGTCCATCGTCCCTTTGATGCAGTGAAGTTGTCCTGTTGCCTTAGCAGAAAAACACCGCCAAAGCATAATGTTTCCACCTCCATGTTTGACGGTGGGGATGGTGTTCTTGGGGTCATAGGCAGCATTCCTCCTCCTCCAAACACGGCGAGTTGAGTTGATGCCAAAGAGCTTGATTTTGGTCTCATCTGACCACAACACTTTCACCCAGTTCTCCTCTGAATCATTCAGATGTTCATTGGCAAACTTCAGACGGCCCTGTATATGTGCTTTCTTGAGCAGGGGGACCTTGCGGGCGCTGCAGGATTTCAGTCCTTCACAGCGTAGTGTGTTACCAATTATTTTCTTGGTGACTATGGTCCCAGCTGCCTTGAGATCATTGACAAGATCCTCCCGTGTAGTTCTGGGCTGATTCCTCACCGTTCTCATGATCATTGCAACTCCACGAGGTGAGATCGTGGTGCTCTGTAGCTCATTTGATAGAGCATGGCGCGTGTAACGCCAGGGTAGTGGGTTCGATCCCCGGGACCACCCATACGTAAAAATGTATGCACACATGACTGTAAATCGCTTTTGATAAAAGCGTCTGCTAAATGGCATAGTAATTAATTAATTAATTAATTGTTGCATGGAGCCCCAGGCCGAGGGAGATTGACAGTTCTTTTGTGTTTCTTCCATTTGCGAATAATCGCACCAACTGTTGTCACCTTCTCACCAAGCTGCTTGGCGATGGTCTTGTAGCCCATTCCAGCCTTGTGTAGGTATACAATCTTGTCCCTGACATCCTTGGAGAGCTCTTTGGTCTTGGCCATGGTGGAGTTTGGAATCTGATTGATTGCTTCTGTGGACAGGTGTCTTTTATACAGGTAACAAGCTGAGATTAGGAGCACTCCCTTTAAGAGTGTGCTCCTAATCTCAGCTCGTTACCTGTATAAAAGACACCTGGGAGACAGAAATCTTTCTGATTGAGAGGGGGTCAAATACTTATTTCCCTCATTAAAATGCAAATCAATTTATAACATTTTTGACATGCGTTTTTCTGGATTTTTTTGTTGTTATTCTGTCTCTCACTGTTCAAATAAACCTGCCATTAAAATTATAGACTGATCATTTCTTTGTCAGTGGGCAAACGTACAAAATCAGCAGGGGATCAAATACTTTTTTCCCTCACTGTATGTTTAGTCTCTTTTCAGGCAAGGAAAATAATGGGAATTTCTTTGGGATTTTTTACCATATTTAGATTTACATGAATGGATGAGTTTTTCTACATACATTACAATGTTTTTTGTTTGGCAATACTTGACAATGAAATTTAGACTGATGTTATAAATAGACCCCTGGGTTATAGGTAATGTCATAACTAACCCTAACCTACATAACGTTTTAAGTAAGAAGTAGATACATCTGTTGCTATGGGGTAAGGATGTTAGGGACAATACAGGATGAATCCCAATAATTGCTTGCCAAAAATGGAATTATCCTGGTTATAGGTAACAATCCTTTGTATGAACTACCTACATTATTACGCATATTATTTGTTAATTGTGGAAATAAATTAAGATATGCACGTGTTTATATATATATATATATATATATATATATATATATATATATATATATATATATATATATATATATAAATCTTGCATATCTTAATTGCATATATATTTTAAATAACTGTATACAATACAATCGAGGTGAGGACATTGGAAATGCTTTTGGCAGTTAATCTGCTTCTGTTGTGTGGGTGGCACTGTGTGCTCTTTTTAAAAGATGGGTCCCAATATCTCAAAGGCCTTGGGTTGGAGTGAGGTTTTAGCGGGTGGAATAGTGGAGAACAATTGGAGGTTTACTCAGTAGCAGTGCAAATACCATAGTACAGCTACAGTATATGGACACTCAATCATTATGGTAATTTTTTATTGTAAGTTTACAAACATATATTATGATAAATAGAATTGAAACTTGTATCTCATTATGGTAAATGGTGAAATTAGTATATCCAGTTGTAATTGTAATGGCTTAGCAGATAATAAGAAAAGACGATCAGTATTTATCTGGCTAAAAGAGAAGGAATATAATATCTATTGTTTACAGGAAACTCATTCAACAACTTTAGATGAAGTTGTGGAATATGGTTTGGGGTGGGCAAAATACACTTCTCCCTTGGGAAAAGAAAATCAAAAGGGGTGATGATATTAATTAACAGTAATTCTGATCCAAATGAGCAAATTGTTCAAACAGATCTGCAAGGTAGATGTATTCTTTTAAATATGTTATTGGACCATAAACAGATTTGTAAATGTAATCAAAGCCTATAGGATGACAACTTGTTTTTTAACCAGGACAACAATTTATAACTGACTTTTTCCCGATATAATATACAGTAGGTACAGCAGATCCCCTTATTGTATTGGACACTTTTAAATGTGCCTTTAAAGGCCATGCAATGCAATACTCATCTTTAAAACAAAAGCAATTTAGGTCAAAATAATTCATATTAACAAAGGAAATAGAGGGACTAAGTACAGTAGATGGCAATAAAATATGCATCATAGGGGCACAGAATAGTTTAGAGGAAAAGCAAAAAGAAATGGAGGAACTTATTTAAGAAAGATTAAGTGTAATATATTATTTAAAAAAGAAAGCGAACTGGATGGAATATGGGGAAAAGTGCATCAAATTCCTTTTCAATCTTCAACATAGAAATGCAACAGAAAATCATTTTCTGAAAGTCACCCATGATTAACCCAACTATATTTTGAAAGAGGAAGCAAAGTACTTTAAGCATATGTTTTCATTTCAGTCTCCTCCATTTCCACTAACCAAAGTTAATTGTAAGGATTTATTTTCTATTAATAATGTAAAATTAACAGCTGTACAGAAAGACTCATGTGAAGGCCAAATTACAAACGTCTTGATGCAATCAAAGCCTTTAAGTCTTGGAAAACTCCCGGGCTGGATGGCATACCAGTTGAGGTATACCAAACCTTTTTTGATGTACTCAGAGGACCGTTATTAGCATGTTTTAACCACTCCTATAAAAATGGTAGATTATCAGATAGTCAACAAGGTCTGATTTCATAATTACTGAAACAGGACCCAAGTGGTAAATATAAAGATCCAGCCCATTTAAAAAAGTGGAGGCCCCTTACACTTCAGTGTTGTGATGCAACAATTATAGCAAAATGCATAGCGCATAGAATTAAAAAGCTATTGTCGGATATTATTCCTCCTAATCAGACAGGTTTTTTACATGGACGATCCATTGGAGATAAAATATAAGAGAAGTACTGGAAACAATAGAACACTATGAAAAATGGGTCTGGTATTCTGACTTTGAAAAGGCTTTTGATAAAGTACAACTGGAATTTATATATAAATGCCTGGAATATTTCAATTTTGAGGAATCTCTGATACAAT